CAAAAAAAAAGTTGGAGTAGCTCTTCTTAGCTTAGAATTAGATTATTAGAGAGGGGGTGACTGAAAACAATCAATCAATTTTGTAAAAAATTTATTTAAATGAAAAATACAGTAAAATCGTAAAATCGTAGTTCACGATTTTTAAAAAAAATAAATTAAATAAAAAAAAGGAAGCCGTTTTTACATTATTTTAAATTTAAATAAAAATCTTGTCAACATTTTTCACCAGTTTTATGAATGGGATTTTTAAATTTAAAGAACATCGACGTATAAATATGGAGAGCCGAAATTCTTTTTAAAATACTTAAATAGAATATATATAGAGAATATACGTATATATATGTGTAGAATATATTCTATATATATGACTTAGAATTATATGTTTTTTAGAACATTTAATTTACTAAATCAGCGCCACATATTAAAAAAATCGAATAATTTTGCAGATGTCACATTTCGATTTAAATACGAACAGACTCCAAAGTCTCTATTTTACTATTTTATTTGCTTCTGTCCTAAGTTTTATCATATTTTATCATTTTCTAAATTACATCAAATTTCTATAATAATGTAAAAGACAATAAAATGAATCAATAATAAGCGTTTTATTATATATTTCGAACATAGTTCAACTGGTTTGTTGATCGTGGCCCATCCTTACGCCTGCCAATATATATTTTCAAAATTGTTTCAAAGATTATTTATCAATTTAAATGGTTGATAATAAATAGCTTAGATTTTCTGCAACTGCTTGTGGGACAACAAAGCTTAAAGGATGGAGCCGAAATCCGACCTCCCAAAAAAATCACGTTTAAAATTCTCATCTGTCTATCGTCTGTGTGTGTGTGTGTGTGTTTGTTTGTGTTGTGCGCGTGTGTGTATGTTTGATTGTAGCAATGAAAAAATAGAATGAAAAATAAAATAGATAAACACATAAATGGAGCATGTTGTTTCAATTATGGAAGAAGTATGTATTTATTTTCTATTTTCCAGCAAAAAACTCTTGTCCGTTATTTATAATCAGACGTGAAAAATGCATTATGCGCTAAATAAATGCCTTTGATGAATTCGTCTGCTTAATATGCAATATTGAATTAATGTCATCGTCATCATCATTTTCTCACCATCATCATCGCCATTTCCTCTCAGTGATTGCATAAGAGAACAGAGTTCTATGATTTGATTTTATAAGAAGCTTCCCCGATATCCGCACACACGCACACATACACGCACACAAACACACACATATGCATACATACGTACAGTATTGGCTAACATCCAAAGTTATTTTCAGGTTTGTATAAATGTATTTATGTAGTGCGTACGTATATATACACATACATAACACTGTATGGATGGATGGATGGATGGATGGGTGGGTGGGTGGATGGATGGATGGATGGATGGATGGATGGATGGATGGATGGATGGATGGATGGATGGATGGATGGATGGATAGATGGATGGGTGGGTGGATGGATGGATGGATGGATGGATGGATGGATGGATGGTTAGGGTTAGGGTTAGCGTTAGTTTAGGTAGGTTTAATGGATGGATGTACGTTCGTGGGAAAATGCGTAAAATTGAAAATAGCAATAAGCGGAAATAAAAGATTGTAAAGCGTTACACATACATACCACTGTATGGATGGATGGATGGATGGATGGGTGGGTGGATGGATGGATGGATGGATGGATGGATGGATGGTTAGTTTAGGTAGGTTTAATGGATGGATGTACGTTTGTGGGAAAATGCGTAAGATTGAAAATAGCAATTAGCAGAAATAAAAGATTGTAAAGCTTTACACATACATACCACTGTATGGATGGATGGATGGATGGATGGGTGGGTGGATGGATGGATGTATGGATAGATGGATGGATGGATGGATGGATGGATAGATGGATGGATGGATGGATGGATGGATGGATGGATGGTTAGGGTTAGGGTTAGTTTTGGTAGGTTTAATGGATGGATGTTCGTTCGTGGAAAAATGCGTAAAATTGAAAATAGCAATAAGCAGAAATAAAAGATTGTAAAGCATACGTTTATATATGTATGTATGTATGTATGTATGTATGTATGTATGTATGTATGTATGTATGTATGTATGTATTTATGTATATAGATATTCATATACAATTTACATATGTTGGCTGGTATGTTGTTTGTTTACAAATTTCAAAGACTATGTTTTATTTTTCATCCTCGTCATCATTATCATCATCATCATCTTAGTCGCCATCATCATCATAACCATTAAGATATGCATCATCATCATCATCATTATCATCATCATCACCATCGAAAACATCATCATCATCACCATCAAAAGCTGTATTATCATCATTATCATGACCGACACATCTTCAAAGCTTTCCAAATGATAAAAGTTGATGTTTTGTTATTGAGTGATTATTACTCTATATATCATGTATGTATGTATGTATGTATGTATGTATGTATGTATGTATGTATGTATGTATGTATGTATGTATGTATGTATGTATGTATGTATGCATGTATGTACGTATGTATGTCTATATTTATGTTTGTATATACGTATATATGATCTATGTACACATGTAAATTATTTCCAGGTATGAAAGCATGTATGTGTGTGTGTATATATGTGTGTGTTTGTCTGTGTATGTGTGTGTGTGTATGTGTCGGTTTGTGTGTCTGTGTGTGTGTGTGTGTGTTGTTTGTTCATCTTGTTGTTGTTATCATTATTAACGTTGTCGTTGTTTCGTTGTTGTTATTTTTATTAATGTTAATAAATTTCTTTTCAACCATCGTTTTTATTCTTCGTGTTATTTCATGTTTTTGGTGTTATATTTAGGCGGGGTTGAGATAGCGAGGAAAGATAGAAAGAGAGAGAGAGAGAGAAAGAAAGAAAGAATAAAAGGGGAGGAATAAAAAAAGAGAGAATGATGGAAAGAAAGAGAGGGCGCGTGATCTATAGATGTAAGAAGGCATTTTATTTTGTTTCTGCAGTGTTTCTATTTTCTATCGGAAGGTTGGATCTTCGGGATTTTGTTGTCGTTGTTCTTTTTTGTTGATGTTGATGTTGTTGTTGATGTTGTTGATGTTAATGATGTTGTTGTTAGTATCTCAAAATGTAAAATACACGAGTATATTTACCACAACACTCAGTATAATTAACGATGATGAAAGTATACAAATGACATCAACAACATCGGCAACGACAACAACAACAACAAATATAAATGTTTATATTATTTCCCTGGTTTGCAACATTTTAATTGTGGATACGTCTACATTCGAACAACGACAAAACCAGCGACAACTCTCGATATTATCTGTGAAATTATTACGAAAATAGCGTTGAAAACATCAACAAACACATCATCAACAACATTAAAAACAACAACAACATTAACAACAACATCAACATCAACAACATCAACAAACACAAAATTGTTATCATCGTCGTCATCATCAGCTGCAAACCATCTAAAAACAGCATCGAAGTCATAACAGAAGCACATTTCTTAATCTTCATCGTCATCATTATCATCATAACATTCATCGTCATCATCTCCCTCCTCATCATAGCCATCATCATCATCACGGCAATCATCATCATCACCATCGGCTACACTGGGTGGTGATGATGATGATGACGTTAAGAATCGCAAAGACAAGAGATATGTTTTAAAACGCTGTGAAATGTAAATAAAAAGCTTTCAGCTCCTTCACCATCATTCTATCTTCATCGCCATCTTCATCGTCGTCGTCAGCTCCTACATCACTTTCGTCATCATATTCAGCATCACGTTTGCCGGTTTTTTGTAATTGGAAATTATTTTTTGCGCTATAAAAAGAAAAGGTTGAAAAATAACGAAAGCATCAACTACAACAACAACAACAACAACAACAAGGGCAACAATTACAGCAACAACAACGATATCATGATGAGTTCCATACCACTGCTGAACAGCGACAACACACCAACAATCGACATCATCGCATCAACCAGCAACTCATCATTCTCTCCATCATCATTTTCTCCATCGTCCTTATCACCATTAGCCTCAAAAGCAACGTCATCGTCGTCTTCGTCGTCACCATCCCTCACAGACACGCCATCATCGGCGACGGATTCAAATTCGGCCAACACTTCCATTACCGTCATGGAACAAATTTTCACAACAACCGTTGAAGCGGGTGGTTCTGGGGGCGAGCCGATGTTGAGGTACCCCCTCTGGGAGGCCTGCATCATCTTAATATTTTGCCTCATCATCATCTTGGGTACGATAGTCGGAAATATTCTCGTCTGCATTGCCGTCAGCATCGTTAGAAAACTGAGAACGCCTTCGAATCTGCTGATCGTCAGTCTGGCCGTGGCCGATTTGTTAGTGGCCTTGGTGGTCATGCCGCTGGCTGCCATGTACGAAGTGATGGGCGTGTGGAAGCTGGGTCAAGTCATGTGTGACGTGTGGACTTCGTCTGACGTCCTACTTTGCACCGCCTCCATCCTCAACCTCTGCATGATCAGCGTCGATCGATACTTCGTTATAACGAGGCCGTTCGACTATGCTATGAAGAGGACTCCAGGCTTGATGGCCGTCATGATTCTGTCCGTGTGGTTGTTGTCGGCGCTCATCAGCATACCGCCACTCTTCGGCTGGAAGTCGGACACGCAAGAAGATGTTTGCGAACTCAGCCAGGCCATCGGCTACCAGTTCTACGCCACCATCGGCGCTTTCTACCTGCCTCTCACCGTCATGATCATCATCTACTATCGCATCTACGCCGTTTCCTCTCGAATCCACAAGAAAGAATTGAAATCGAACCCGGAGCACAAGCAGCTGAGAAGTGCTAGCTCGTTTTCATCGACTTCATCGTCGTTCGGTAGGAAGATGTCTGACCATCCTCCCCCTCCGCATCACCATCAGCACGATCAGCACCATCGTCAGAGTAGCGGTAATGACGACTGGATCAACAAGAAGAGAAAAATTTCGATGGAAAGCAGTAGCAGTAGGAAGCCATGTTTGCACGGTAGAGGATCCAACCAATCGGAGAATAGTAAAAAAGAAGGTGAGGATTCGAACGTGCAGGCAACAAATTCGCCTACCACCCTCACCGTGCCTGATCCCACAATACAAATCATAAATCCACCACCATCTCCCGCCTCTAAAGCTCTGAGGAAACACCTGAAAAATGTCAGCTTCCTCTCGAAACCTAACTCCTCTGGTGCCTTGAACAAAATGCATTCTGCCTCAAAAGAAAGAAAAACTACTAAAACGTTAGGAATAATTATGGGAGCGTTCGTCGTTTGCTGGCTGCCATTTTTTATTCTTGCACTCATCCGTCCGTTTCTGACCGACCCGACGGTCATCCCGCACTGGTTGGTCAGCCTGTTGCAGTGGCTTGGATTCGCAAACAGTTTCCTCAATCCAATAATATACGCTCGATTCAACAGAGATTTCAGGAAACCATTCAAAGCCATTTTATTCTGCAAGTGTATCGGCATCAACACTCATCTAAGAAGCGAGAAGTACACGGAAGACTACGGCCCCTCCAACACTGAGTTCTCGAGCGGGGTCTTCAGGAGGAATAGTCAGCAGGTTCAATATAGAAACAGCTTCCAACAACAACGAAACAGTGGCAGTTCATTTGATGGCTACAGAGTCTGAAAATCAAAGTAATTAATTAAATGATGCTGCTGCAAATTGTATATACAATTTTAAGATAAATACTCTTGTTTCGCTCTGAGTTAGTGAATTATTTTATAATTTAAAAGATTTTGTGATTATGTTTATCTGAAATGTTTCATTTTAGTTTAGTTTAGCTTAGATATTTGTTGCATTGCGTTTCATTACATTGATAGAGATTGTTCGCTAAAGCATTTAAAGTTGTTTGAGGTACAGTCCTATTTAAAACCTTTAATTGCGTTTGTTCACTTTTAAACGTTGTCCGGTGAGAAGTTTAAACATAAATTTGATAACGAGGAAGGGATGTTTCGGTGGAATGTCGATTTGAAACTTTTTCGGGCTGTCAATTTGCCGATTGGATGAATGAATTGGTGGCCGACGATGAATGTCAGGCCATCGGAATAATTTCAAAAATGCTCACAAACATTACTTGCCTAACTATGAAATGAATGAAACATTAATTAATTAAATATTATTTCTAATTTCAGTGTTCCTCAATCTTCTCGTAATGATTTCTATTCACACTTTAAATTTGTGTAGTGATTGTGATGTGTTTTTCGTAGTCTTTCTGTTAGTGCAGCGTTTCTTTCCCTTGTTTTTCATCTGTTAGAATCTAACAGATTCAACAAATCTCAACTCAATGCTTACATTTTTTATTCATTTTAATTTAATTTTGAGATTTTTTAACAAATAAGCTCAAATAGCGTTAACTGAATGCATATTTTGTGTGTGTGTGGTTTCTCCGTTGATCACATTTTTTCACACTGTTTTGACTGACCTGTTTGCTTGTTGTATGTTAATGTTCTTCATTTTTTATTTATCATTTAACACTGATAACACTCAATCCTACTAACTACTACTCCTCTAGTCTAGTTTATCTAATTTACATTTATATGCATATTGTATAATGCGTAATATATATATATATATATATATATATTGTATATTATATATATATATATCTTTACATATTTTCTTTACATTTTTAATTTGTGCCATATATACACTGCTCGTAATAATGAAATATTTAATTATTACATTGTAAATTGAATTTACGTTTACTATTAGCTGAATGATTGGTCAAATATTAATTAATTAAATATTTTTGTCTTTTGATCACAACAATCCTTCATTTCTGCCTTCATTTTTCAACATAGCATTTTTTTTATTCATCTTGTAGAAACTTTTTTTTTAACTCAAATTGGCATCATATTCACTGTCTTTGATCTCTGCAAATACTATGCTGAGGTCGTATTTATGATCTTATGTTATTTTTTTCAACCATGATCTTCACATGATTCAAGTGATTTTTATATGAAGAAGAATATACATCATTTCATTATGTTAATGACATACAAATGTTTATCATATTATGTACGCACGCACTTATGTATTCAATGAAGTTTTAAAGTTGCTTCAAATTCTGCCTGCATTTCAGATGAAGTTTAGTTAATTTTATTAATTTATTTGAAAATGAATGCAGATGTCAAGCAATGGATTTTTCTATCTTGATTGATTGGTTGATAAATAAAATCAAAAACAGCCTGTATTCTGTTTTCTCATTTTTAATTCGTTCTCTTGCTCTCCATCTACCATTCATCCATCTATCTCTCTCTCTATCCATATATAGATATAATATATGGTCTCAAACAAAAAGACAATGAATCAGTTATTAATCTCATCAGGAATGCAAATTGTATTACCAGAATTGAACTATAGTGCATAACCTAATGGAAAGAATACGATAGAGCATTAGCGGTCCGAAATTCTTTAGTTGCATTGTAATGTTACTACATATAAAAAAATGCTATAAAAATTATTTTTTTGTAAAATTCATCCATATGTAGTCTGTACATCGTAGTTGTAAAGTTTGTAAAGAAAGTTTCTTTAAAATATGAAAAAATCGCATAAAAAATTGCAACCAAGTAGGGAAAAGGTTAAGACTATGAATGTTTCATAACTAGAATTGTGCAGTACCAAACAATGGATAGAACTAGAGAAACGCTATTGCTATTGATACTTACACTAAACAAACACACCTTAGTAACACTTCAAAGATTCCTATCATAGTATTAATGCCAATATACTAAGATCGATACTCCCATCGAAACACTAATTCCGATTCCTAAAACGATACTTCAGCTCGTCTCCGCCCCAGACCAGATCGCCAGCAATGAATGTGGCACGCACTGTCAAGGACGACTGGTCCATTATGATTATGTCAGCGTCACTCCCGTAGCTCAAGGTGCCTGCGGAATATCATTGCTGTAAAATGAAACAACTGAAATAGTGAAATGCGAGTCTCGGTTACCTTTCTTATTCGTGATCTTCATAACTTCAGCAGGGTGCAGTGTGCAGGCCTCGATGGCTTGAGCTAGATCTGCAGCTGCTCACATTCATTGGTTGGTTTGATGGATGATAGAATGATAGAATGAGAGAGAGAGAGAGAGAGAGAGAGAGAGAGAGAGAGAGAGAGAGAGAGAGAGAGAGAGAGAGAGAGATTAGGAAGAGAAAGAGAGAAGGAGGAAGAATGAGAAAGAAAAAGAAAGAAAAAGAGAGAGAGAAATACGAAATTTCATAATAAATCAAAAAATTGATGAAACTAGAATGAATAAAGCCAGACGACGATGATGAAATCACTCAAAAAATGCACACACCAACCAGCGTTCTTATGGAAGAACCTCATGCACTCATCCAACGAGGTGATGCTGGATAGGTGGTGATGATGATGATCACAACTACGGTTATCATCATCATCATTATCGTCGGAATTGGAATGATGGTAATGATTGAAATGGCGATGATGGTAACGATTAAAGTAATGATAATAATCAATAATAGAAATGCTGCTGATACCATGACTTACGACAACCAATAAATATAGTGACAATGATAATAACCAATAATTTCTGTAACCTTCCACAAAGAGTCTCAGTGCCCTGGAGAACTGCCCTCCTGCCCTTGACCTCGATGACCTGGTCTCCGAGGTGGTGCACCCCGTCCGATAGGCCCATCGCTGAAACTGCATCAGTCACTAAGATGAGCCCTGGAAAAAAAGCAAGATGATGATGATGAAGAAATTCGGCTACGGTCAACTAAACTTACAAAAAATTTTTTTAAATCCGGTTTTAGTTTCAACATCATCTCCACGCAAGTTTGAATGAACACACGTGGAATGTACATATCAACGAAGGAGGCCTGTGTGTACGTGTGCTCACGCTCACACGTTCGATGCATTTGTTTGTTCGTAATTAGAATGCAGCAGTCAAGAGAGATGATCATTTGAGGTACTCCCTGCAAGGGAGCTCAGATAATTGGATTTTAAGACTTTAAACTGTCGGCATTAAAATCACGTGAAGTGAAAATGTGACGGAAGCGATTGAAAAATGCTGTCGGGGCCATAATTATCCTTATCCAATGTAAATTTATTCCTATTCATTAAGCGCATACGAAATTTTAGGCCTCCAACAGTTAAAAAACGTCAGACGATATTTTAAAATTTAATTTTGAAAAGCAGTCCTCAGCATGGCCGGAGTAAGCGAGCAGTTCATAACCACTCTCGTTAAAAAGACAGGCTAGCTATCATTTTGTGCAGTGCTGGGCATATTTCGTGAGCTGCCGAGAAACAAACATATCCCTGCAAAATGGTGATGCTGGTGAGCGTAATAATGATGAAAAGAACAAAAAAGTGACGACGAAGAAGTGACTCTTGAATTAGTAGCGTTACATAAGTAATCACAGCGACTATCATCATCATCATCATCACCACTGCATCACATCATCATCACCACCATTGCATTACTTCTTCATCATCATCATCATCAGGACAACCTCTAGGGTGGGCCCTATTGGCAATATTGAGGGCAGCAGGGTGCGTGTGCACCCCGTCAGAAATCATCCCGTAGTAAACCCTCTTCCTCCTCTTCTTCTTCATCCCAATCTTCTTCCTCTTCTCCTCCACCATCTTCTTCACGTTCTCTCCGACTCCACCACCGCCACCACTGCCGCTGCTATCATCGCCACCATCTTCCATGCCACTATCATCATTCAAATTGTCGTCTTCGTCATTTTTGTTTGAAAACTTCTGACTAGTCAGCAGGCCGACCAGGTGGGGGTCTCTGTGGTGGAACTGAGTGTCAAGGTGGAAATGAAACTGAATGTCGAGGTGAGATTGTAGGTCAAGGTCAAACGTGAATCATCTACGTTACCCTTAACTAACAAATAATGAAGTAATATTGAACGCTTTAAAATTTAAATGGCTTAAAACGCATAGCAATGTTATGAGGTGGAAGAGTGCAATCGGTAATCATGGAGAACGAACAGGCAGCATGGCATTGAAGAGATGTGTGATCAGAGTGGCCCCTCTCTCGACAGCTTCTTCCCCAACCGACAAACAAGCAGACGAGTGACCCAATGAAACAACCACACCCTTCTCGCTCAAATACTCGATCACCTCCATCGCTCCTGGAAGTTCTGGGGCCAAAGTCACAATGGCCACGTTGTCGAGGCAGCCGTACGTCTCCATTAGTGCTTGGACGCCATTCTGAAAAGTAGTGATGTGCTCGACTTGATGCGCCCCCTTCATTTCTTTGCAGATGAATGGGCCTTCAAGATGTAAGCCTGATTGATGATTGGTTGTTGGATGGGCAAGTGAATGAATGAATGAATGAATAAGCGGGTAAACAAACAAGTGAATGAATAAGCATGCGTAAGTTAATAAGAAATGATGAGAATGAAACAAGTTATTAATAAGTTAAGAAACTTTAGTTTGAAAATACAATTTTTGAATGAATGCCAAAAGAGATTTTCATGGCAGGAGTAAATAAGCTAACAAAACTTAATGGTCATATCAGAAAGTATTGTGATGAAGATTCGTAAATTAACATTCACCCAACACAAACATAATTTACAGCTAAAATAATAAAATACACCTAACTCTGACCCAACCTAAACCCAACCCCCACCCACCTAACACACCAGCTCCGTTTTTGCAGCCGTTTTTCTTCCGAACTTTTGAGACAATCTTGTTTTAAAAGGTGCAACATTTAAAAATCATAATCTATAAATAGTAACATAGAAAACTTGCAAATTGAATAAATTAAATGAAAATAAATTAAAAATTGAAAAAAAATTTACGCACCTGTTTGTAAGCATTTGGTGTGCTGGTTACAATTGTCGGGCAGAACGAAGTGACTCCATGGCTCAGTAATTCTGTTTTTACGGATGGATGGATTGATGGATGAATAAATTGAAAATGAATGAATGAATTTATGATGGATGGATGGAGTGATGAATGGATGGATGGACCACCTTTTGAAACTATCGAAATCTTATCGAGGATGTGCTCTGGGTCCATTGAGAAATCCTGCCCGACTGCACCTACATCATCATTGGTGTTATAAGAAAAAGTTATTGACTGAAATGAAAAAGGATGGACACAGAAATACTGAATTAAAATTGGGTTAGGGTTACCATTAATTTGCAAATCAATGAGGCCGGGAAAGAGGAAGAAGCCAGAGCAATCAATCTCCACATCAGATGGAACCTTCTCATCAAAGAATATTTTCTCTGGGTTCTGTATGACACCATTTCTAACCCAAACATCTTCTTTGATGATTTTATGATCTTTTAAGATGTAGCAGTTTTTGAACTGATACAACTTGTTTTTCAGAAATTTAAATTGGTTGGCCATTTTATAGAAAAGTTTAGAAAAGTTAACTGGTTAATTAGCCAAGTCTGAATTAATTAAACAAATGACAAACAAAAGATAAAACAAGTTATAAAAATAAATTAATTAAAAATTAAAATTAAATTGTAATTATAAGTCAAGACTTAAATTTTAATTTAAATTGCCAAAGTAGGCAATCATGAAAACGACTATAAAACAAATAGGCCGCAGTTCAAGTGTTCAATGGTTCAGTCAGTTGGCAGATGATTGCACACACAAAATCACACAATCACAATTAGGAAGGAGGTCCCATGACTGTGACAATCACAAGTGAAACACAGAGAGAGAGATTAAACACTAAATAAATAATTGTTAGTCGGTTGCATTTTTCATGTTTTGATGCTTATCTAAATGTAATTGAACATGGAAAATAAAAACTTGATGATGTCAAACTTTTGTCACTAATCTTTCGATAAAAATTCTAATTCGATATTTGAAAAATTTCAATTGTTGTTAAAGTAACTTAGAAGTAAACTTAAGTAATAACTTATAAATTTTAATTTTATAGCGCTTAATTTTAGTAGATGGAACACCTGTAGTGTTGCCCCATCCCATATCCGACTCCAGCCTTTGGTTCAACCAAGGCTATGCTAACTTGACACATTCACAAATTTTGTTTAATTTATTGTTTTTGAGATGAGAAGGGTTCTTGATGCAATTGAAGAGGTGATGTTAGATGATGTTTGTTTTGCTATGCTATGCTATGTTTGCTATGTTAACAGTTTTCAAAAGACATTTTACATTGTGGTAAACGTTTTCTAACTTTTTCCAGGTTAGTTTTTGTGCAAATGGTATTATAAAACTTTGCCAATTTGAAACAGAGCCAGAGATCGGTACATCGCTGAACGCAGGCGGATGTCGGTGACGCCGAACGAAAAGTTAACTCAAGGTCACTTGCATATATATAAATTCGTTTTGGAACATTCACGTTTCTCTATAAATACTCGCTTGTTTAACTAACCAAACGTCACTTATTTTTTGATCCGGCTCTTCTTTAGGCAAATTTTCATTAAAGATAAACTTATTTTCATAACTAGTTAAAAGCCGACAAATATTTTTTTTATAATTAGGAAAATTTTTACTTTGGAAAAAAATTAAACATGGCGAAGGACGTGGAGATACGGGATAGCACTAAGCCATCAATTTGGAAGCAAATTATGGCGATAAAAGATACCTTGATCATCATCCTCACTCCGATCATCTTACTTCCTCTTCCGATCGTCTGGTCAGCCAAAGTAAGGAGTTGTATGTTATTTGGTGACAAATTTAAAAATCCAATTTTTCAAATTTCATGTTTCACACGTTTTTTCTTTTTGTAGCTTTCTGTAATGTAATTATTACATTTTTCAGCAAACATGAAACAATTGTTTGAAATTAAAATTTTTCAAAAATATCTTTATTAATGTTGTAAAAATAAGCTATGTATTAAAATAAAAATTTATGTATTTAATATTTTAATTTACCAATCCTAGTGTAATAAGTAATATAAATTGTGAAATTGACAAGTGAATAATAAATAAGTAAATGATTAAATTTTGTTTGAACTTTAAATATTTATTTAAAACTATCAGCAAGGGAGATGTGCATATGTGATCCTGATAATGATTGTGTACTGGATGACGGAGGTGATCCCCATGGCAGTCACTGCTCTGATCCCAATTGTCTTGTTTCCTTGGCTTGGTGTTATGGGGTCCAAAGAACTTTGTGTCAACTATTTGAAGGTTGTTATTAAATTTTTTTTTTTTGTCTTATCTTTGACATTTGTTATTTAATTCATTACTTTTGCTGCAGTGTTTAACATGTGGCAAAATACTTGTTTGTTATTTGTACAGCTCATTTTTATATTTGGGTCTGAGTATGTATGTTTTATTATAACAATGACCAGAATTAATTTTCCCTGACCAGGATGCCAACATGTTGTTCTTTGGTGGGCTGTTGGTCGCTGTGGCTGTTGAAAAGTGGAACCTTCATAAGAGGGTGGCCCTCAGAGTGCTCATGCTAGTCGGCTCCAAACCCAAGTGGTTAGTTGATTAGAGGAGTGTGTGGTCATTTTGTTAGATGGCAGATTTTGTATTATTAATCCAGTGGTGTTCAGATTATGATTATGGCTTTCAAATGTTTATGGGTACATTAATGGTGGTACTAGATATAATGATGAGTAGGAAGATGATGATTATACTGGTAATGCAGATAAAAAATGAAAAAATGAGTGCTGATTTTTAAATATATTTTATTTTAATATTGAGTTGTCAAACATGTGTTCTTTAAATTGTTCTAAATGTGTAAGAAATGTTTAAAATTGAATATGGCACAAGAATGTTTTCACAATTAGCCAGAAATTCTTTTTTAATTTGAGGAGTGTTAAATTTATTTCTTATAGTTTTTTATCATTTCATGAGTGGAGTCTGTGCAAGCAGTTGAAATTTAATAGCATGGCATTATGACAGTTTTATGATTACTTCTACATCTTTTTTGCTTTGGCTTTTATTCTGAAATGTTTTAACCAATCAATCTGTCATCTTCCCTTCCCTAGTTCCTAATTATTTTTCCATCTGGTTTTATTTAATAGCCTCTCTGTTCTTTTCATTAAGTTGCATTTTACTGTTAAATAATTTAAAACAACTAAATAGGTGTGGTTAATTTAGTGAGAAAGATTTTATATTTGATTGGAAATTTTTTCATTTAATTGAAGCACTTGCACAGTTTGTTACCTGCAAATTTCTAATGAAGTCCACATAATTGCTGTGCATGTTTATGATTAACTGTTATCTCTTTATCTCTCTCTCTCTCTCTCTCTCTCTCTTTCTCTCTCTTGCTCTCTCTCTCTCTCTCTCTCTCTTTTTCTCTCTGATTTTATAATAATAATTTCTGGCTAGCTAGATAAGGAGAGGTAGGTAGGTGAGATAGTTGAGTTTCTATTTTAACTTCTAGTGGTGGCAAACATTTTTTTATAAAAATGTAATTGTAATGTAAATAATCTGCCTGAATCACCTATGCTGCTTATTAGTTCATTCAAGTTCTGTTTAGTTATTCACATCCATCCTGCATTTTAGACTATCGCTTTAATAACACTTATAACAACGGTCTAAGTGAAACGATGATGTGGTGATGATTACATTGCTAGTGTTGTTGATGGTGACGATGATGAAGAAGAAGAAGAAGAAGATGATGATGATGTTTTTCCAATAAAACCTGCCAAAGTGATTGTTTTATGTGGGAGTCATTGTTAAGGAGTTATTGATTTATTGGGACAATTGAATTGTCTTTCTACTATCTCCATGTCTGGAAATAATATTTTTGTTTTTTCATTCATTTTTAAGCTGTCGTTCATTCATTCATTTATTCATTCACCACATGAGTTTATTCATTTACTCCTTTATTCTTTTACAATTCACCAATTCATCTCTCTTGATTATTCATTCATTCCTTCAACATTCATTAGTTCATGGATTCATCTATATAGCTGTTTGTGGGACAAGCAGTGCAATTAGTTACTCACTCACTAGTTATCTATCATTCAGCTGGTAGATGTCCTAAGTCATGTAGGCCACACAACAACAACAACAATAATGATAATGATAATAATAATGATCATAAAAATAATGATGATGATAATGATACCCACCTGGCTGGTTGTTGTATTGAAATTTTGATCAAGAGTTTTTTATTCTAATTCTTCTTTCACATCACTGGTTATTATTGCTGTTAAATTTATTCAAAAACATGTTTGCCTGCTTGTTTAGCTGTTATTAGTTTATTTGTGAATTTTCAACCTTTTTTAAACTGGTCGGTTTACTTGTTCTTTCATTCATGTTGTTTCGTTCCTTTATTCTTTCTTTTTATTCATTTATTAGTTCATTCCTTTGTTCATTTATTCATAGCCAGTTTGTACTTGTGTATCTGGATTGTTGACAAGTTTGCTATGGTCCATTCGTTTATCTATTCATTCATTCATTCATTCATTCATTCATTCATTCATTCATTCATTCATATTTTCATTCTTAAAAGCATCAGAGGTAATGTTAGTATATTAGTAATAATAAAAAGGTCAATAATAGTAATGATGGTGACGACGACGATGATGATGGTGGTGGCGGTGGTGGTACTATATTTTGGCTGCAAAAATATTGAGATTATAAATTTAGAGATATCTATGACATCCTATTCATTCATTCATTCATTCGTTCACTCATTGGTTCGTTCATTTATTCATTTTTTCATTCTTTCATTTCTAAATTTTCTTCAATATTTGTTGCCAGTTTGATGTAGGCAGTGGTGACAATGATGGTGATAAGGATAATGAGAATAGTAATCATGATAATGACAATTACCATGCTAACATTGGTTATACTTAGACTTCTACATTTATATAATCATAGATTGATTTAATTTTAAATGCTGTTTGTGCGTACGTGTGTGTGTGTGTGTGTGTGTGTGTGTGTGTGTGTGTGTGTGTGTGTGTGTGTGTGTGTGTGTGTTTGCTGTTTGTGATGGCTTTTAACCTTTCAACCCACAACATCGCCAAGTTTGCCATCATCATCATCATCTTCATTGTCGTCATCGTGGTTATTACAATTGTTTATTATCATTTTTACGGTTGTAATTAACTTACAACCTCATCTATGCATTTCAGACTGCTTTTAAATCCCACAAATATCATCACCACCACAGCTTCAATTTCTTCCACTAACCTTCATTCATTTCATTTTTATTTCATTGTAATTATTCACTTCACATTGTATATTGTCATCTTACATACGTGCATGCATGTATATACATGCATGCACGTATGCATGTATATAAGATGTTTCTCAGATGAACAAATGCATACATACACGCACCTGACTGACTTTTTATACATACGCTGATGCACTCAGCAACCTTCACTCTGGGTTGCACCTTCATTTTTGTATTTGCAGGGAAATAACAGTATCAGTAATAGTAGGAATAGTAATAGTAATAGTAGTAGTAGCCGCATTATGGGTTTCTCCGTGCAATACAATACAAACAAACTTGCTGTCAGATATGCTATGTGATCAAGGCATATTATTCATATATTCTTTCTAGTCTGTCTGCTGGGCTGCATACATTCTAGTTTGCTGGTGCATATGTATGTGTATATATTTGTATGTGTATGTTTATATAAGTTATATATTTGTGTGTACCTGTACACGCTCATATATGTATTTAGTAATGTTTGTTATTTTTATATATTGGAAATATATTAGACCTATGTACCCTTGTAAATGTTTTGCACTCCTTCATTCTTTCATCGTGACACCTGTCTATCCATCCATCCTTGAACTTTAAAATTCCACTTAAAATTATGAAGAAGAAAAAGGCAATTAAATTTGCAGTTAAATTTTCAGAAATTTATTACTACCTACCTATCATCATTATCATCATCATCTCAATTGTTATGAACATCTCCAACAACATTATAATCACCAATCACATTATTAACATCGTCACAGCAGCAGACATCATCGCCACTAAGAAGCAACACCACAACCACACACGCAGGATCATATTCGGTTTCATGGTAGTGACGGCCTTCCTGTCCATGTGGCTGAACAACACGGCAACAACCGCCATGATGATGCCCATCGCACATGCGGTCCTCACCGAACTCGATGACAACCGCAAGAAACAGATGATTGCCAGGAATGCAAGCAAGAATAACCTGGAGGAGAAGAAAGATGCCAATAATGATCATGCTATTGGTTAGTTGATGGTTGGCTGTGGGAGACTGGTGATTGCTTGGTTGGTCCATTGGTTGGTTGGCTGGTTGATGATTTTTAAGTTAATTTGTTGCTCGTTTTCTTGGATGACTTCCTTTGCTTAACAGGATTATTTTCTGGTGAAAATGTCCAATTGAATTATTAATTATTTTATTTTTCAGAAATGAAAGAGATTGCTACAGATGGGTATATTATCTCCATTTATTCATTCATTCATTCATTCATTCATTCATTCATTCATTCATAATTCATTCAACAAATCATCCATTCATTCACATTTCTCCAATGAAAAGTTTGTTGAAGCACTGCAATAAAAAACAACCCAACCTGCAGAGCCGAGAGTCACCTGTTGACAGTAAAGACTGACCAGGCAGCCCCTGTCGTCCTAAGCAAGGAAGACGAGGAAAGCAACAAAAGATTTGCAAGCTTCAGGACTGCCCTCAAGTTGTGTGTCCCTTATGCCTCGAGCATCGGGGGCTGTGGTACCCTCATCGGTTGCGGACCCAACATCGTTCTCAAGGGTCAACTGGAAGTGTAAGTATCATTTTATGGAATGGTGGCTGGGTTGTGAGAAGTTGAATGGGTTGATTTCTATTTTGAAATCATCACTGCTATTTATTGTTGACAAAAATTTTTCATGACCGTCAGCTTGTACTCGTCGTCCTCCATCAACTTCACTTCCTGGTTGGTCATTGGTTTCCCTGCGATGGTCGTTGACCTCCTGTTGGCCTGGGTCTTCCTGCTCATCATCTTCTTCGGGGCCAGGGACACGTTCGGACTGAGGAAGCAGACGGAGGAGGACAAGGATGAGACTGCAAATCAGGTCATCAAGGCAGAGTACCAGAAACTTGGAAGCATTACGTGAGTGCTCGCGGCTGGCGTTGGAGTTGTTTTGTCTTACTTAACAAAATCTGAAATGTGCCTGTGTTGATTTTTTCATCTGGGTGCTGATGACGTTATAACATTTCTTACATCATAAACACAGATTTGCAGAAGTTGTTGTCTTGGTGAACTTTTTGATCCTGGCTTTCCTGTGGGTCTCCAGGGAACCAGAATTTGTTCCAGGGTGGGGTAAGGCCCTGAACCACACGACCACAAAAACAACGGTAAAACATTATTACAATGGATCCAAAGAAATAACAGTTACTGAGGTCCCTGCATCGTTAGTATTTTTGTCTTGTTGCGGCTGCTGGGCTGGTGTTGTTAATATTTCGTATGACCCATGACAAGCAACCAACTGACCTGGCAAATGATTTGAATCAGGTTCGTGACAGATGCAAGCGTGGCCATCACCATATGCGTCCTCCTCTTCATCTTCCCCTCACAGTGGCCCAGCTACCTCTGCTTCAGAAAGAAGACTGGTTTGTTTTTTATTCTTTTTTTTGACAAGAAATTCGAGTTTTTTGGTTGATAGATGTTATTTTCTAGTTGGTTATCATTATTGTACGATCACTATTTTAATTTGCATTGACATTCCATTCATAATCTTTTTCTATGCCATCTGTAACCTTGGACCAATCAGAAACAAGAGCTCCTGGGCTGGCTCCTCCCATCTTGGACTGGCCGACAGCCAACAAGCAGATGCCCTGGAGTGTCATCCTTCTGCTGGGTGGTGGGTTCGCATTGGCTGATGCTTGCAAGGTCAGCCTCATTCGTTCATTCATTCATTCACTTGTTTATGCAATCACATCAATGATATCTCTTTATTCATATTCCCACCGCAATAACCATAACATGAACCACGGCAACAGGGTTCCAAGTTATCGGACTCAGTGGGCGAGGCCTTGATAAGTTTGAAGGACCTGCACCCCTTCTTCATAAGTCTCATAATGACGTTGGTGGCGACGGTCATCACGCAGTTTACCAGCAACATGGCTACGACGACCATCATGATCCCAATCCTGGCCCAGGTCGCCGCAAAGACCTGCGTGAACCCCATCTATTTGATGCTGCCTGTCACCCTGGCATCGTCCTTCGCATTCATCCTCCCCGTCGGCACCCCTCCCAATGCCATCGCGCACTCGTACGGGGACATCACCATCCCTCAAATGGTTATTACATTCATTCATTCCTTCATTCGTTTATTACAATTCCTTCTTCGAATTTTCTAGAGGCACAAACACAGCAGAAACCACACGTCAGGCACGTTGCGTGTGATAGTAGGCCTAGGTCTCTTTGCAATTGAATCCGATCACTGCAATAGCATGCGTGTACATCGTTGCGGTTGTTGCTGCTACTTCTGCCACTGCTTTTTCTTCTGCCACTGCACAGACAGTTATCCAGCAATTTGATTTTAATTATCACTCAAGTTAATATTTCTTTGCACAACACTAACCGCCCACACACCCACCCACCTACCTACCTACTCAGATAAAAGCAGGACTGGCGATGTGCTTGATAACGAACGTCGTCCTCGTCCTCTCCATCAACACCTGGGGCTACGCATTCTTCGACTTGGGCACGTGGCCCAGCTGGGCTCCACCCTGCGCCAATTCGACCGTAGAAGTCATGGCGTCTGTCACTCCAATGATTGTGAACACCACAACCGCCCCTGTCGGCTGAATTGTGATTGATCAACAAGATTGTGTGGTCGTGGTCTGGTTTTGCTTCTTGCTTTCTCGTTGGCTGGAGATGAATTAGAATATAGAAGATTTGAATGGGCGATCCTTGATTGATTGATTGATTGATTGATTGATTGATTGATTGATTGATTGATTGATTGATTGATTGATTGATTGATTGATTGATTGATTGATTGATTGATTGATTGATCAGTTTCTGCTTAGAAAGTCATTGTGTTTTCAATGTTGTTGTTGTTATATATAATGTTTACTTATCATCCATGCTATGGTTTCTATTAGAATTTGTTGTTGTTATATTTATTATTACCAATGATAATATTATTATAAAAGTTATAATTGACGTCATCATTGTAGCGTGCGGTAGCAGTAGTGGTAGATATGAAGTTACGAAGTTACGAAGTGACGACTGATGGAATCGAATAAATTAATTAGAAAAATGCTAAATTTAGAATGATGAGTGGAATATTTCAAATATTTTCTAATATTAATTGAAAATTGATTGTCTGCGAGCGTTTTAATTAGCGAGTGAGGGAGTGAATGGGTGTTAAAATGAATGAATGAATTGTGAATGAATAAATGAATGAGAGAAGAAGAAAGAAACAATTATATTGACTACGCTTGTTCGGTAATTCATAATTATATTATTATATTATATATTAATTAATTATTATATTAATTATATGTTGTTATTATTGTTATTGTTGTTAATATTAATTATTACATGTTATTATTGTTATTGTTGTAATATTATTAGCTTACGATGTGTTGACATTATTATTTGATACGTTTATTTGCAGTTGCTTGGTATTTATAATACGAAATTTTTCCTTAGGATATCATTCATGTTGTGTTTCAGAACAATCATATATATATATATATATATATATTATATACATATATATATATATATATATATATAAGTATTATTATTTTATCTATGTACATACATACATACACACACACACATACATACACACACACACATACATACACACACATATATATACACATGTGTCTGTATGAAATTTCAGCTTCCTGTTCCATCGAATCTTAGTAAATTTTTTTTTTAATTTCATAAATTTTTATTCATTTTATTTCTGTTTTAATATTTTTAAAAATAGTGTCGAAAATGTTTGTTTGTTTGTTTGTTTGTTTGTTTGTTTGTTTGTTTGTTTGTTTGTTTGTTTGTTTGTTTGTTTGTTTGTTTGTTTGTTTGTTTGTTTGTTTGTTTGTTTGTTTGTTTGTTTGGATGGATTTTTATTTTAAAACTCTCCCTCGTTTCATCTATCGCCCGGATACAATGATGATCTTTCTACTTTTTGTTTGATTGCTTATTTGCTTGTTTATTTATTTGTTTGTTTGTTCGTTCGTTTGTTTGTTCGTCTGTTTGTTCAGCATCAATTCATCTACAAACATGGATAAGTTATAGTAAGCCTAAGTCGACTCGTTCGTTTCTCCACTGAAGTTAAAATCCGCTTTCATCAAATTTCTTCAGTTCTTTCGTCTGTCTCTTCTTTACATTAAAACATTTCGTCGACGTCTTGGTTGAACAATAAATGGTTTAATAAACAAACATCTGAATCGAACACTGAATCAATTGGCTGTTTGATTGATCGATCGATTGACTGATTGATCGATCGATTGACTGATTGATCGATCGACTGATTGATTACTTAACACAGACTATACTAACGAAATGCAATTGAAGGTAACGACGTCACAGATGACGATACTACTAGAATGATGATAATACTAACAAGAAGACATGTTTGCTATGTTGTTGAATACCAGTAACATGGGTAAGAGTAATTTAATCTTAATATAACCGCTATGATTAGATAGTAATAAAATGAATAGTAATACTATATATATATAATTGTATATATATATATATGATATGATATATTAATTAGTGATGATACAACTCAACCACCAATGGATTTGTCTTGCATCATTCACCTTGTTACTAATAGTATAATGGTTTATTGTTATTAATTATTATTATTATTATTACTACTATTTTGATAGCTCTATATATAAGTAACATAGACATATGTGTGAGTTTGTGTGTGTGGTGTTTGTTTATTATGCTCCTTCTTATCGAAACAGTGTACATGTATATATTATATTTTTATGATACACACAGCCGTATATATAATTGAATTATGTTAGTTTGTTTTAACGATAACAGTAGACGATAATTTTTTTTTCATGATTATTGGTGTTAATAATAATTAAATAATATTAATATTTAAAAAAACTTTGATGACGATAATTATGGTAGTAATTATGACGACTTCCTAATAGTTGCTGTTATTAACGTTACTGTTATTGATGTTATTTTTGCAGTTACGAATGGGTGAATGAATAAATGGATGAATGAATGGATGGATGGATGCAACATACTTTTCAGCATTATTGTTATTCTAACTCTTCTTATTATTCCTATTATTTTCGAATGATGTCTCAACAGGAAAAATATCACAAAAGGTGATGGTAAGTGGAAAATAATGCGAGGTTACGTAATGGACAGATGGATGAATTGATCCAATTGTGTTTATTGAGATCACCTCGTTTGGATGAATGGATGGATGGATAATCAAGTGGTGAATGTACATTATCTATTTATTTGTCTATTTATCTATAGAGGGCATGCAAGATGTTTTAACCCTTTGATGTTACCTATCATTGATCAGTTGAATGTTGTTATTTCATTTATTTTTTTTTTCAAGTTTATTCATCCACTCATTAACCATCTGACTTTTTTATTCGTTCATTCGTTCGTTCATTCATTCATTCACTCGTTCTTCAGGCGTTAGTTAGTTAGTCGCTTTGTAAGCATCATCGTTATGTTTAAAGGCGTGGTTTTCATAATTTTTACATTAAATTGCTATGATGATGATGAAGAGGAAGAAGAAGATGATGATATTGATTATGCCGGCCAGTTATAATAATTAATAATAATTATAATTATTATTATTTATAATTTTGATGTTGAATCTCATCCATCAAATTTTCTTCTCCTAACGAGTTAAGTAATCTTCCTCCATTTATTTATTTCCACTTTTCTATAAATTAATGTTTTTCCTTTAAAGGTTTGATTTGGCCTGATTTTAAGAAATGCTCTAAAAAAGCCAGGAAGTCATTTCAATTTTCGTTACCCTCATTGTTCTTATCATTAAAGGTACATAATTCATCTGACTGACCTTCAGACAATCAGAGGATGATGATGATGAAGAGGTAGGTAGATGGATGGTTGGTGACGGGGCTAAGGATGATGTTGTATGTTGGTGGTTCTCGAGGTTGATCGCGTTGGGTGATGAAATTTGTGGTGTTTGTTACATGACATTCATCGTCATCTTCGTCGTCACCATCGTTATCCCCGTCATTATTAATTTTTCATTTTTCTTAAAAATTTTCGATTCAAAATTTGTTTAGGAGTTTTTTCGTTAGCTATATTTAGCTAGGCAGTTAGATAGATAGGCATTTTGGTTGTGCAGTTATCGAGGTATTTCTTTGTGTATATTTGTGTTTGTAGACACAAAAGTACACAAACATACGTTTGTATTGATACATAACATTGCTTACAGATGGTATTGATCTATAATGATATACTACATACTCGAATGTACAGTACATGCATACAAAACGTACTCACGGTACCTCACGTACACTTGCAATACAAACACATTTAAATTATACAACTACCATTTTTATTACATGCGTACACAAACGCATACAAACAAACATGTAAACGTACACACGCACACATACATACTTACAAACACATACACATACATACATAGAGGCATACGATAATATTCACATAGTCGTCACTTTTAGGTTTATAATTAGACGTATTTGTGTGTATAAATATGCACTAACTTGTAGTAGTGAAGTAAAATTTGAAATTAATTGCGCTTCAACTTTTCCAGTTCGTGTTGATTAATAATGCTCGATTAATAATGCTCGATTAATAATGCTCGATTAATGATTTCGTTCTCTATTCTGGCGTTAACTTTGATGTGTACATTATATATATATAATATATATATATCATATACCATACATATATATGCGTGTGTGTGTGTAATTCAAAGAGATCCTGTGTGAGTTATTGTTAACATCTGAATTGATAAAGAAAGATTTAATCACACACACACATATATATAAGTATTTATATGATATGTACATTTCTGTTGTAATTTTCTGTTACGATGACGATGCTAATGATGACATTAAATAGATTATTTTCCGTCTCGTCCCTTCTCGTTTCTATTGTACTTTGGTGCGAAAACGTTGACCGGAAGCGTTCCATGGCAATAGTGTTCTTTATAATCTTTGGTACTTGGTTTCTGAAATGAGATGACGTCACCGAAATGAAAACAAATAACAATAAAAATAAATTAGTTGTGTTTTGTTTTTGAGGTGCAATGTTTTGGTAAAACTAGTCCAAATTTTGTTTGTTCTTCGTGTTCTTATAACTTTATGCCAGTGCAAATTTGTAACTTATTCACGAAAAATTTTACCGTTACTGCATATCGGTCGTAAATATTGGGTATATCTCAATATAAATATATCAAAAATTGAGTAACAGTAAAAGTTGGAAGGAAGTATTCACCGCGTGATTGAGTTGCTGCCTAATAGAAACTTGGTCTGCCTGCCTGTTTCATTTTTTCTTTTCCTTTCAAGTTGATTCGTCATGTACACGAATACGTAAATTGACGACAACGTCAACAATAGCAGCAGCATTTGAACCATCATCAACATAAAGAGCCAAATGGCCGACCAACAACAACAGCAACCTCCACAACTTCTACAGCCACCATCGGCGCAGCAGCTACCACCACCAGCAGCTCAATCGGGCAACAATTTGGCTGCTTCTAGAACATCTGTTTCAGTCCGACCTAAGCCATCTATAGGAAAGCAAATTTGGAGTATTAAAGGTTCGCAGGTTTTTTTAATATTGCCACATGATGGCGAGTTTCGAACTTGATACCTGCTATTTTTGAAACAAAAATAAATCCATGCTCGATGTTATAATTTGAAAGCGTCTGTTGGATATATCTTCATTAATGATGACCATTTAAACGTGCAATTTACGATTATTAAAATAAAGTTAAATTCAGAATTTTAACATGAAGTTTTGCCGTTCTTCGTATGTTTGTTTTAAAAAATTTTTTGTCTCTGCTGTCCTTTATATCTTGAAACATTCTGCTTCTCTTGGGTACAAAATGTCGTTTGATCTTTTAATTAACAAATTTTCATAATTTTCCATTTGTTTGTCCATTCATTTACATGAAACAATACAACAATATTCTAACAACGCGTGAACATCACACGACAGCAACTTTAGTAACAGTCCTAACACCAATCTTACTACTCCCAATTCCTTGCCTGTGGAGAGTGAAGGTGAGTCCGTCTGATTGGTTGGTTGGTCGGTTGACTGATTGGTTGGTCGACTGATTGGTTGGTTGATCTAAATATAACCTTTACCTTCTTTAAAAAAACGCACCCAGCAAGGAAGATGCGCGTACGTGATCCTGATAATGATCGTGTACTGGATGACCGAGGTGATCCCCATGGCAGTGACCGCCCTGATCCCAATCGTTCTCTTCCCATGGCTGGGTGTCATGGACTCGAAGGACATCTGTATAAATTATCTCAAGGTCGGTCAGGGTTTGGTTGGCTGGGGGTTGGTCATACCTGATTGGGTCATGTTGATCGCGTTAAATATTTTTTTGTTTTACTGTGAAAATGACTGACTGACTGAATGAATAAATGATAAACGAACGAATAAATGAATGCATGGGCAGATGGATGTACGGATAAGCTGATGATTTTACGAAGAAATGAGTGAACAAGAGAAAAGCAGATAAATTAAGGAATCTGAATAAATGATATTTTCCTGAGCAGGATGCGAACATGTTGTTCTTTGGTGGGCTGTTGGTCGCAGTGGCTGTTGAGAAGTGGAACCTTCATAAGAGGGTGGCCCTCAGGGTGCTCATGCTGGTCGGCTCCAAACCCAAGTGGTCAGTTGCTCGTGGCAATGTTATACTATGAACCGTATAATAACATTATCAATAACAATCGCGATTGTCTACATTTTTTGAAATCTAGCTTCATCTTATTCGGCACCATTCTTTGTGACCTCCTTCATCTTCATCATCCTTTCAACTACAGCCCACCACCACAACCACACACGCAGGATCATATTCGGTTTCATGGTGGTGACAGCCTTCCTGTCCATGTGGTTGAACAACACGGCCACAACCGCCATGATGATGCCCATCGCTCAGGCGGTCCTCACCGAACTCGATGACAACCGCAAGAAACAACTCGAAATAAAAAGAACTGAATCAAGAGTCGTTATTTCGCCTACCAACAACAACATCAGCAACAACTTCGATGAAAGCATCAACAACATCAACGACAACAACATCAACATAGGCAAGAACGCCAACAGCGGTGCAAGTGCGAATGCTAACTACGATGTATACTGTAGCGAATATAACAGTGATAACTTTGAGATGAGTTCACCGCGAGAAGAAGATGAAGGTAGTGAAGGTGGAGATGGAGATTCTATCATTTGCGAAGATGATAGGATGTATTCTGTTGTTGTTGATCCAACTACCGACAACATCAATATCAACAATGAATACAACATCAACAACAACAACGATCAACCCCCTCGACCTCCCATTGGCCCGCCACGACCCCCAATGGGAAGACCTCCTATGGCCGGCTTACCACGTCCTCACATGGGACCTCCTCTGCGGCCTGGCATGCCCCCTCCACCACCACCACCTGGAATTGCTCCGGGCGGAGTTCCACAGAGACCGGCACGACCAATGATGCCACCCCCTCCGATTGCCTCCGTGGAACCACCCCAATCACAACCTGCAACCCCTCCCCCACCTCCTCCTCCGGCTGCCCCTGAAGCTGCTGCTGTTCCTGAGGCTGCCGAGATGACGTCAGTGAATGAATGAACAAATGAATGAAATAATTATAATATCAACAACTGCGGTTTGAAATCGGATATATCTTTGTTATCGTGTCATTGAACACCGTTAACTTTTATTCGTTCACACTCACTCACCCACTGTCACGTGACCAGAGACTCGGAGAAGATGGCAGCCACCCTGGCAAGCATGACTCCGGAAGAAGTGGACAGCCAGAAAAAGTTCAGCCTCTTCAGGACGGCCCTCAAACTCTCCATCCCCTTCGCATCGAGCATCGGAGGGACTGGCACCTTGATCGGCTGTGGGCCCAACATCATTCTCAAGGGACAGATGGAAATGTTGGTTGCTCTGTCTCTTCGTACACACACGTGCAAACGCACGCACATGCACGCACACGCACACAAACATACACACACACACACACAGATTATATAGCACAAGCATGATAAACTTCACTTCCTGGCTGGTCATCGGCATGCCGGCCATGGTCCTCGACCTCTTCTTTGCCTGGGTCATCATTCTCTTCATCTTCTTTGGGTTCAGAGAAACTTTTGGAAGGAATAAGGTGGTGTGTGTGTGTGTGCGTGTGTGTGCGTGTGATTGGTTGGATGGCTGGCTGTTAAAGGATGGTTTAATAAATTGACTAGTTGGCTGGTTGGATGATTGGATTTTTATTAAAACATTAACAAAACTCAAAGTGCGAATGAATGAATGAATGAATGAATGAATGAATGAATGAATGAATGAATGAATGAATGAATATTTATAGGTTGAATCTGACGATACGGCTAATCAAGTCATCAAAACGGAGTACATCAAACTAGGGAAGATGACGTACGAATAATTCACGCCAATCAGTTAATCAACCAATCAGCCAACCAATTAATCATTTATCTATTCATTCAATTCATTCATTCGCACAACCATAAATGTATTCTAGACAACTGATAACATTCGCAAGACACCCACAACTGCCAGCAGACACTCTCCTACAAACGCCCACAAAACGCCTACATGAATCCACACATACACGGAATACAAATGACGAAACAGATTTGCGGAGATGGTAGTGGGCGCCAGCTTCCTCGTCCTGGCATTTCTGTGGGTGAGCAGGGAGCCCGAGTTCGTGAAGGGGTGGGGTGATGTAATGAAGACTGCAGTACCCCTTCCAACGACCACTGCCAACACTAACAGCAGTAACAACACTGCCCCTGGCCCCAAGAAAGTTAAATATGTCTGGTTGGTTGGCTGGCTGTCTGGTTGGCTGGCTGGTTGACGCTTATTTTTGCACAACTGTATTCACACACACACACGAACACACACATACACACGCCAATTCCTATTGAAAAACACAGTTTCGTGACAGACGCATGTGTAGCCATCACCATCTGCGTTCTTCTTTTCATCCTCCCGTCCAAGTTTCCAAACTATCTCTGCTTTAGACGAAGGAGAGGTTTGCATGGCTGGCACATCATGGGATGCATGCCTTTGTATCAACTATCAACCTATTCAATCATTTAAATAGCATACCATGACGCTTACGTTGAACTAACAACCAACCATTAATCATTATCAACTATGAAAACCGTTTGTATTTATTAATGCTTATATCAACCAATCACAAATGATGAACGACAACGAACTGATAGTATCTGTTAATATCAACCAATCACAACGGCTAGATGCAGACCCTCCGAAACCAGCTCCTCCCATCTTGGACTGGCCGACAGCCAACAAGCAGATGCCCTGGAGTGTCATCCTTCTGCTGGGGGGTGGGTTCGCATTGGCTGATGCTTGCAAGGTCAGCTTCATTCATTCACTCACTCATTCATTCATTCATTCATTATTTCATTCAATTCTTCTTTTGTTAAACCTTCCTCCACTATTTTTGTAACAGGTTTCGAAACTCTCCGAATCGATCGGTCAGTTCCTGATAAGTTTGAAGAACCTGCCCCAGGTGGTGGTCAGCATGATCATGGTCGTCTGCGCGTTCGTCATGACGCAGTTCACCAGCAACATGGCCACGACTACCATCATGATACCCATCCTGGCACAGATATCATCGGAGACCTGCATCAACCCTCTCTACCTCATGCTCCCCGTCACCATCGCCTCATCCTTCGCCTTCATCCTGCCAGTCGGCACTCCCCCCAACGCCATTGCCTACTCGTACGGGGACATCACTATTGTTCAGATGGTGAGCAGGTGCTGATGACGATGATGATGACGATGATGATGACGATGACGACGATGATGAGGATGGTGGTGACGACAATAAATCAGTCACTAATTATTCAACCAACCAGCCAACCAATCAAGAAACGATCACCAATTATTATTCAACCAACTAAACAATTACTATTTCGCTAGAGATAAACCGTATAGCGAATTTGCATGAATTCAGAATGTAGTTGATTCGAAAACCGAATACTAAAAAGCCACAAATTTGAAAATTTTTTTAGAATAGAAACAAACTATTTAGAACAAACAATAGGTGATTCACGCCTGTCCAACAATCCTTCATCGAGATAATCTTCAATCTCTTGTTCGAATTCAGAGGTTTTAATTTTAGCAGCTGTGCATGAGGGCCGTCATAAACTTTTTGATATTCACAATCAACGATTATCGTTTTGAATGCAAGTAAGGTGATAATGATGATTTGAACGAATGCAGATGAAGTGCGGGTCGGTGATGTGCCTCCTCACCTTCTCCGTCCTCATACTCTCCATCAACACCTGGGGCTACTCCTTCTTCAAGTTGGGGACCTGGCCCGATTGGGCTGGTAAGAAGTGCGCGCCGAAATGAAATTGACGGTGAAGAAGATGACGATGCTGGTGACGATGCTGGTGGTGGTGATGATGATGACATCGATGATGATGATGATGATGAAGACGATGGTTATATTATTATCTTTCAAGTTACACGTGTTTGTTGTTAGTTTAAATTTTCAAGTTTTTCATCATAAAAAGAAGATGTTTATTGCAACGCTGAAAAAAGTTTCAATTATGAAGCGTACTCTCCACTCGATTCCGAGGCTGTATTTGTTTTAAAATTCATCTGATTCCAACTTTAATCGGACCCCTATGAGAGGTCATCATTCCTCCAGGCGAAATACCATCAGAATTAAAATATTTTGGACTTGTATAAAAAGCAATTTAAGCTTGCTACTATCATCATCATCGTCATTATTATTATAATTTATTGTTATTATTATTGCCTAAATACTACACATGCTTGTAAGTAAATATTACATACAAATATTCAATTGTTTATTTATTATGCATACATTAGCATTATTTAGGATCATATTTGCATAAATTATATCTCTATCTCTGTTCTCATTGGATGGCTGCATTCAGATGTAATTAATAATTTATAAATCAAGCAATGAATATTGAAAATGAGATCCCTAAGTTAAATAGATGTGATGATGATGACGTGACGATGATGATGATAATACTTTCATCGATTAAATTATAATTTTTCTCTGAAAATAACATGATAGTAGATGGGCTCATTAACGTAAAATACTACATTTAATTAATTGATTAATTAATTAATTGATTAATTATTCGATCAATTAACATCATATGCTATGATGTGGCGTGTGATTCAAGTCAATGTAAATATGTGATGTGATGATGTAATGTTAAGTGTTGTAACGATAAGTGAGGTAATATTAGTGTGACGTCACCTGCATTACCTATATACCTACCCGCCTACCTACCTACACAAATAGCAAGTGATTGTCAGAATGTTAATAGGATGGAACAGCAAGAATGTACAGCAAGCCGATTGTAAGCATCAACAGTATCATTCATATCGCCATATTTACAATTTTTTATATAAATAAAGCATGTAAACTTACGAGCTATGTATACTTGCAACGTTATATAACGATAAATGTTTGTGTGCGTATGTGTGTGTGTGTGTGTATACGCGTTCGTTGGCATTGTTTTAAAATGGAATGGTTAAAAACATACATGTGTACAGTACATACAGATACAGATATCGGGCAAAACTGTTTGTCGCTAACGATGTGAAGCACAAAATACGTCCAAATTTAAAGCAGGTATCAAACTTGATTCAAAATGATAAACAGAAGCGACGAAAAAATGATCGAGGTGCAATAAAATACTCGTAAAAAATACAAACTCCAAAATGAATACATCTATATAATATTCAATAAAACAATTTAATAACAAAACGTGGACAAACGAAAATAACAATCGTCAATAAACCAACCAAAGAATTGCTTATCGACCAGATATTAATCCACCAATCAAACAACAGACACCTAACAACCCACCAATCAAACAACAGACACCAAACAACCCACCAATCAAACAACAGACACCAATCAAACAACAGGCAACCAAACAGTCGACCAATTGGACTAGAACTGCAGAACCCGCACATCTACACCTCGCTTTTGTTAAACTGCAACAACGATGGTGGGGTGGAGGTGGTGGTGGTGGTGGATAAATTGACGAGGTCTTTCGACATGACCGATGACGTCAGAGAGGTAGAAGAATTTTTGATGTAAGCCCACTGTGGGAAGGTGGAGAGATCGAAGTAGGAGTAGCCCCACGTGTTGACCGCCAACTGGAGAACCACCAAACATAACACGGTTAGCGGTATGCCGGCTATCACCTGATTGGTCGGTTTGCGAGTTATTAATATTCATGAATTTCTTGTTCTCTTTCCATAAATATTATTATTAAAAATGTTAATTGAATGCCTGTTTTGATGTTTGTGTCGTCGTCGGGTCCTCAGTCGTGGGAATTTTAAAAATAATTTAAAATAATTGTTTGAAAGTTTTAATTAAGATCAGGCTGGGACGAAGATAGTCTCGGTTTTGCATGACTCAACTTCTCGAAAACTTCACCAACCATGTCCTTGATTTTGATGTCGCCGTGCGCATACACGATGGCGTTCGGAGGTGTCGACACTGGAAGGATGAACGCAAAGGACGCGCAAATCGTCACCGGGAACATTAAGTACAATGGGTGCACGTGCACTAGTTCGGCCTGGCAGGTGATGACGATGATGATGATGCCGAAGAAGAGGATGATGATGATGGTGATGATCAAAAAAGATGAAAATGATAAGAAAGAAAAGAATGGGAATAAAAATGAGAAACCAAAATGGCAACGGACCAGTTCGGCGAGTATGGGCATGAAGATGGTGGCGGTGGCCACGTTGCTGGTGAAGGTGGTGAGGGTGATGGTGATGAGGCAGAGGATGACGCTGATGAGGAAGATGGGCAAATCTCGAAAGCTGATCAACATCTCGCCTATGTGGCCCGATAAACCGGAGTTCTGATGTGGCGTTGTGACGTGATGTTGACAGTTTAGTGTAAAGATAAGTAAGGTTATTTGCAAGCAGGGCATACCTTGCAAGCGTCTGCCAGGGCGAATCCACCCCCCAACAAAAGTAGGACACCCCAGGGCATCTGCTTGTTCACGGAGGACCAATCAAGAAGGGCGGTTGACGAAGACGACTTGTGCTGATGATGGTGCTGGTTGGTTGGCGAGTCCTCGTCTGCATAATTTGTTATATTCTATGTTTAATATTTTAAAACTAAGTGTTGTTATTCACCTTTCACTAGGAAATTTGAAATATCGAAAGAGTTTCGACAAGCTGATTGTTAATAAAATTCACGGTAATTTGCGATCAGTATCAACGGCGTCAACCAGATTTCAAACCCGCCCCACCCCCACCCCCCACTCTCACCATTGGACCGCCCACCACGACAGAAGTCAGGCAGACTGCTCGGAATGATGAAGAGGAACACTGAGATTGTTATGGCCACACTTGCGTCTGTCACGTAACTAATTTGCATAATTTATGCACATATAATATCATTTTGAGTATATGGATGGTTTATTTATTCATCAGTTAATTCGCTTAGTCGTTCGTTCGTTCGTTCGTTCATTCGTCTACTCAGTCTATCCACTAATCCAAACTAACTCATTCGGCATGAGACTTCCCCAACCTCGCACGAACTCAGGTTCTCTCGAGAGCCAGAGACCGGCCAGGACCAGGAAGTGCAAGAGGACTGCTACCTCCGCAAAGCTGGTGGGTGGATGGGTAGATGGATTAATGGATGGATAGATAGATGAATGGATGGATGGATGGATGGATGGATAGATAGATAGATGGATAGGTGAATAGACAAATAAATAAATGAAAGAGTGAAGGAAAGACAGCAGCAGCACCTGATGCCACCGAGCCTCCTGTACTCCCTGCGAATGACGTCGGCTGCCGTCTCGATGTTCGCATTTGCCTCCTCCTCTTTGGTTGATGATGGACGGAAGGAATTTCTATCAGAGAATGAATGAATGAACGAACGAACGAAAGAACGGAGATTTTAATGAAAAAATAGAAGATAGATGAGTCGTTGAACGGTTGAATGAAAGGATGAATCTGTTAACTAATTAAACAGAGAATGAAGAAGAAGGAGGACAGGAAGAAAGAACCTGGGACCAAGGAAGAGAAGAAGCAGCCAGAGCCAGGCGAGCACGAGAGCCAGGAACATGTTGGGAAGTGCAAGAACAAACCAGGAACTGAAGTTGATGCCCGCGTTGCCCTTGTACAAACTTGTACAAAGTTAATATGCACGCATTAAATGATATCAACATAAGATTCTACATCTTTTAATCATCACAGAGCAATCTGGAAAACAAACTAACGAATCAGTCTGGCCCTTGAGAACGATGTTTGGTCCCGTGCCTGTCAGTGTGGCAGTCCCTCCGATGTTTGCGGCATACGCGATGCTCAGTTTGAGGGCCCTGCCAAAATTTTTGAACTGCCGATCTTTTGGAGGTGCGTCCGGGCGGTCCTCACTCATCGACTCCCCCTGCGTTGTGCTGGTCGGTTGTTTGTATCTTTAAGTATTTGTGCCTATGTCCATAGCAAAATAACAACAACAAAACAACAACAACAGCGCAGCATAAAAACAACAACAACACAACAGCAACAAACTTGTTGCCAGCGCTTGTGTACCTCTTCCTCTTTTTCTCACCGTCAGATAAGAGTAAGACGCTGCTCGGGTTCTTTGGCATGCCTGCGTCTGACATGACGTTCAGTGTTGCGCTGCTGTTGTGGTTGTCGTCGTCGTCGTCGCCTATTATTATCTTTACTGGCCCATTTTTCGTGCTGGTTGTTGTTGCTGTGGTGGTTGTTGGTGGTGATTTAGTTGTAGCCGATGTAGTTGCGACTGATGCAGATGTTGTTGGCAATAAAGACTTGGGTGTTGTTGATGTTGTTGACAGTAATTTCGATGTTGATGATGTTGTTGGTTGCGTAGTTGTTGTTGTTCGTGAAGTTGATGTCGTTGTTTGTAGTTTGGTCAGCGAGTGTGACGAAGATGAAGAAGATGGCGATGAGGGTTGTGACGATAACGATGATGATGACGTTGTTCTCAGGGGATCGGTAAATTTTACGCCACCATTTACACCACAATCACCATCTTTGTTTTCATCATCATCATCATCATTTTTATCATCACTTTTTCCCCCACCACCGGCCTGAACATCACATTCACCATCAACGACTCTCTCGTCATCAACCCCTTTCGAATCGAGTTTAATCGATTGAACGTCGTTTGAGCTATCATTATCAAGAAGACTTGTATCTTTATCACCATCATTATCATTGTTATTATTATTGTTATTATTACAATTTTCATCTTCATCATTTTCATCGTGTTTCTCTTTTACGCTGAAAACATCCTCACAAAATTTTTCATTAAAAGTCGCATCATCATCACCACCTTCATCACCACCACCACCATCATCATCATCTTTTTCGGTGGCGTCGATGAAATCGAAGCTGAAATCATCATCATCACCATCAGCAGCTTGTTTCCTGAATGGATTCATGCTTCCAACATCAGCATCGTCATCATCACCAGCTTCTTCATCATTATCATTACCATCTTCACTTTTTACATCTCTAGTGACGTCATTTCCACCACACTGTTTATCATCATCTCCATCATCATCATGACCAACATCAATAGTTTTTTCATCACTTCGCTTCAACCTAGTTTCTAGACCCGTCTTTAACTTCCGTTCGGGAAATGTGACGTCAGAGACGTCTACTTCCGGTGTGGAGTCAGGTGAAACTTCGGGGATGGGCGGTTGAGGCGTGAAGTGCAATTGTCTTGTTGGAAGTAGAAGATGGTGATCTTTTATGACTGATGGCGACAACGACGATGATGATGATGAGGGTGGTGGTGGTGGTGGTGGTGATGTTGATGCTTGGATCGGCGATAAAGAACGATCGACAAACTGTTTTTGCTGCTGTTGCTGCTGCTGCTGTCTGTTAGATGTTTTCTTCCTCCTCGCATCACTGACAACTTCCGTTTTTGGCTTCCGGGAAGAAAATGAAATTGGTTCGTCATCATCGTCGTCATCACATGATTGAAGGTCACCTTCCATCAAGGTCAGGCAGGTTTCGTTCTTCGGGATTCCCGCGTCGTCTCTGGAACTTTCCATATTTCTGAACATGATGCAACTTTCGTTTTGAGGAATTGCCGGAAGGACGTACCTGCCCCCTGTTGCTTCCGGCGGAAGTTGGTTTTCGGAATTATCGGAATCGGAATCGTTATCTTCGTTTGTTATGCGGATCTCCAGCGGAATCTGCTCGGCTGCTTGATCGATGAGACGATGAAAGTTTCCAAAAATTTACAAAAAAGCAAATGCTTCTTAACGAGGTTGGATTTATTTTAATAATTAATACCATCGAAGTTCCCGGCGGCACAGACCTGCAGCGTTGTAGGGCAGAACGGCGTAGGAAGCTTCCCTCACCCTCTTCCTGTGCTCGCCCAACTCTCTGAGGACGGCGTGTGCGATCGGGATCATCATGGCGGTTGTGGCCGTGTTGCTCAGCCACATCGAGAGGAAGGCGGTTACGTTCATGAAGCCGAACATGATCCTGTGCAGTTGTTACGCGTGTTTGCTCAAATACCTATGAAAATAATTAAAAAAATATAAAACTTGCAATGACCAGCATGGCTTGGAGCCGACCAGCATGAGCACCCTGAGGGCCACCCTCTTATGAAGGTTCCACTTCTCAACAGCCACTGCGACCAACAGCCCACCAAAGAACAACATGTTTGCATCCTGCTCAGAGCAACAAACACACGCGCATTTAGAGGTGTTCTAAAAATATTTTCTAATTTTCTTAATTGAAAACTTTTCGAAATATACAAAATGGATCGTGGATTCACAAATCATTTGAAAAATAGTAAATCTTCGTGGTTCTACCCCTTCTAGAAATGTTGGAAAAAAAATTGATGTCTTCATATTCTCGTGAGTTAATCTAATAACTCCGACAGAAAATCTTTTTTGAGTTTCATGTTGTCAAGAGCACACAGATTAGGTTCGTAAAATATTGAACTATACAAAAACTCAGTGAGATAGAACCTTCAACTTGAAATTTCACAACCACCAATAAACAATTAACCCAAATAACAACCACCTTCAAATAATGTTCGCAAACATCTCTGGAGTCCATGATGCCAAACCAGGGCATGAAGACGATGGGCAGGAGGGCAGTGACCGCCATAGGGATCACCTCGGTCATCCAGTAGACGGCCATCACCAAGATGGCGAATGCGCATTTCGCTGCCTGCTCAGTGATTGGTTGGTAGGTTGGTTGGTTGATTGGCTGATGGATGAGTAGATGAAGACTCATTAATAGATGGATGAATGACAAGATGGACTGACAGACAGGGATTGATGGATGGCGAGATAGAATTGAATCATTAAATTTAACTTAAACGATACAAATTGTAAGCTTGAAAGACGAACAGAGCACATTTCAAAAGTTTAATTGAAATTTTAAAAAACTACAACCAACTTGCGTTGAATGAACGATCAACACGGGCGATAATAGAAGAGGTGTTAGTATGGCCACGATGTTTTTTCGGTACTTCCACAGTTGCCAACGTATCGGCACATCCCTGTTCCTCAACTGGGGCATGCTTCCCTAATTACATCAGTCGAGTTCCTTATTAGTTGGTTGGATTTTCATTAGTTGGTTAGTTGCCGATTAAATTGATTGTAAATAGGTATATCTTAGATGGATGGACGGATGAATAGATGGATGGATGAATGGATAGATGGACGGATGAACAAATTGGTGGACGGACAGACGAATGGATGAATGAGTGAATGAATGAATGAACTTTATTTTGGGGGTAAGCAAGAATACGTAGTGCGTTCTTTTTCCGTATAAATCAATACTGCCAGCACCAATGAATGTATATGCGAATGTTTGTACACCATCGCATACGTTGGTAAATGTGTGTGTGTTTGTATGTGTGTCTGTTTGTATGTGTGTGTGTTAGTCTGTATACTTGTGTTGTATTTCAAGTACGGGAGGTTGTTTACTGTGTGTTAATGCAGGTGAGTTTTATGGCCATTATGATTGCTTCAAGTATGGCGTTTCTATCAGTTGTTCGTTTGTATCCACAACATTCCTGTATTAATACGCACCAATTTTGTTTTTGTACATTTCAGTGTGTGTGTGTGTGTATGTGTGTATGTGTGTGTGTTGTGTGTTTGGACGTTAAATCTTAATTCGTGCGATATTTTGATATTTGTCGCTATTTTAATTTAATAATTTATTCCTTTACTTCTTTACTTTCAAATTTTTAAAGATTAAATGTTTTTTTGGAATAAATTTTAAAATTTAAAAGAAGCGTTAACGTTCAGTCACATTTCAAATCAATTACACGAATCGTTTCTCAGCTTGTCATAACGTACAAATGAACAAACTGCCAACCAGCCAATCAACCAACCAACCGACCAACCAAACAATCAAACAACCAACCAACCGACCAACCAACCAGCCAATCAACCAATCAGCCAGCCAACCAACCAACTATTCAATCCATCAACAAAGAAATCAACCGACTAACTTCGAAACAACCTCAGTCTATCATTCTGAAGGAAGTGCTGATGTTGATGGTACTCGTCTTAATTTACCTCCTAACAAATTTTAGCATCATTATTTATTGGTAAAAAGTAATTTAATAGTAAAAATTCAGAAAAAGTTTTAATGAAATTTGATGGTACTTCTTCCAATTAATAACTTCTTAAATTTCTGTTATGAAAATGTTTGCCTAGCGTCACATAACATAGTTTAATACTGTTTAATATTGTTTAATATTGCAAAATATTGTTTAATGCTATCTAAATGTTGTGCAATAAAATTATTTAATAATGTGTTTGTCATTTCGTATGTCTGTAATATGGTGGAAAAGATGGTTGGTTCGTCGTTAGAAGCATGTATGTATGTATAAACTCGATGTATATAGGTATGTATGTATCTATGTATGTACGTACGTATGTATGTGTGTTTGTATGAATGTTTGTATGCATATATGTAGGTAAGTTTGTATTTTGTTGACATTGGAGCATGTGTAGAAAACATAAACATGTATTGTGTGCATTGTCACTGAATATAAATATGATAAACACACAAGCATGCTGGCATTCATGTGTGCTCGTTTGCACGCATTCCAGATTCAAAGCTAGGAAGTTCACCCCAGAAATAAATGATTGAACGAATGAATACATGAATAGATGAATGAATGGATTGATAGATGAAGGAATGATTGATTGAGTGAATGAATGAACAAATGAATGTAAGCGAGAGAGAGAGAGAGAGAAAGAGAGAAAGATTTTTTTTGTGAAACCAGTATGGATAAGTTTTGAAAGAGATCAATGCAAAAAACGACGACGGACGACAACAATCACTTCATCAACAGGGTGAAGTAGAAATGAATGAATGAATGAATGAATGAATGAATGAATGAATGAATGAATGAATGAATGAATGAATAAACAGATGGTTACAAGAATGAATAAATTATGGAACAAACTACTAATGGATGGATGAACGAATTGATGGATGGATGGATGTATGAATTGAAAGATAAAGTGACGAACAAACAGATGAACAAATTCTCAAACGTAAAAATAGATAAAATACAATTGTTCCAGCCTGTAAATATTCTTATAAAACAATTGAATAAATCAGTCTAGAAATTAATGGCTGGTTTATGAATAAATTATTCAATATTTTATAACTAAATGCCACCAAAATAATTTATTTCAATAATTTGTACGCCAGGAAAGCATAAATACCTCCAAATTTTACTTATTCTAAATGCATGGCTGCCATTTTAAAAATGCCTTGCAGCGAGGCAGCAGCAAACAAAACGCACCCAGCAGCCTTAGATGGCCACAAAATGTCTGCTGCTATGGCAACCACATACATATTCACATATTTTTACATTTTAAATTATGGCGGGTTTGTGTGTTTGTGATTGATGAGATGGTCATTCGTCAGATTTGAGGTTTATAAGTTAGCGATCGCACGAAAGTCAGACATCAGCACCATCACTTACGTGTCCTAATTTAATTTATTGATTGACTATGAAAAAAAATGTTTGCTCAGGTGCGTGCTCTTCGGAGTTTGTTAACATCGATTTTTTAATTGCTACGTTCACCATCGCCATTCACTAATTCTATCCGTTTATTCATTCATTCATTCGTTTTATTCATTCGTTTGCTTCGTTCTGTTTTCATTCGTTTATATTTATATAATCTACAATCTCGAAAGCCTGTTCTCATATTTACAATATTATTATTTTTATATTAAAATTTTGAGATGGTCATTAAGTTGAATATGAAGTGGGTGTGTGCGTACGAGTGCGTGATTTGTATGTCTATATGTGTGCGTGTGTGGGTGTGCAGTTCAGACTGGCTTCCAGCTCAATGTGTATCTATAAAAGCATTGTGTCCTTCCAACTTTAGAGATGATGATGTTGCACGTTGTATGCATGCGTCGCTTATGTTTGTATGACATGCAAAGTGAATGCATTTATTTTTGTTCTCTCCTGAAAACTGAACGGTAGATTGAGCGTTCAGAAGCTTGTGATGTACAAAACTTTTAATTTGTAATGTTATATAACTTTCATGAATCTATATTTTTATTTTAGCACATGCTTTGTTCATTGTTTATATGTAGTTAGCCAGTCAGTTAGTTAATTACATTGAAGGAATGCTAAATTGAAAATATTTTGATGACTAGCACATTAATTTAATAAATATTTGTTACTTAAATATTTGTTACTGAAATGTATGATGGTTTTATTTGTTAATGTTTAATTACTGAATTTATAAAAGTATAGTAGCTTAATTCAAGTTAGATTAGTTAGAAATAAAACTTATTTTATGTTTAAAACGTCATCCAATTGAAATGGCTAGAAGGGAGCTGACTGTCATCAAAGGGACATTTTTATTGACTCTGTTGTTGATATTCTTTGTGGCCTGCTATGTCCATCTTTTTGGTCAGGAAGCCAGTGAATGTGACGGAAATGACGTCATCATCAATGCCAAACTCTCCTTCCATGTTTGTGCTGTTTAGTTTGATTATTTTTAGCTGGTTTTTTTATAAATTAAAAAAAAAATGTGTTTATTTAGTTCATACAAGTTTGTTGAACTTTATATGATTGGATGTTAAGCTTGTTTAAGAAGTATATGGTTAATTGTGGCAAATTAAATGCTTTTTTTTACGTATTTAATACTTTAATATTAACATTATTTAATTTTTATCATAGAAAATAAAGTTGGCAAGTTCCATAACAGATAAATTCCCTAATTATAAACTGTTTTACTATGGGAAGGAGGAGTTAGTCATTGCGATTACCGTTGCTTATTTATTATCGTTTTAATGTTGCTCATTTGGATTTGATCCATGTGCAAATATGTAGAATTAAAGTCATTAAGCACTTGTAATGCCAAATATTTAGTAGACATCATCACTGGGTATGTTTTTTTGGAGTGCAATTATGTACCAGCATGACAACACCCACTAATCATTTTCACTGTTGCTTATTCTCTATTTTTCTTTCTTGTCTAGTTGGTGTGAGTTCGTTTCGTGATCATCACCATCTTTCATATCATCATATGATTTCATGAAGTATTATTTTATCAACACTAACTAAAATGAGCATTCATCGCTATTATCGTCGTCATCATCCCTTCAACGCTGTTTCATCTTTATAAACTATAAATAATGATACATCAAGTCTGTAAATAAATAATTATGAAATATAAATAATAAAAGTTGAAAATAAACTAACTCCTGTGGTAGAAACGATTTGAGGAAACTGAACGGTCAGCCCATATTATTCATACCTGGTCACTCTGGCTCACATTTGGATGGTGAGGAATATTCTTTGTAATTTTTATCATTCATATATTATTATTATTATTATTATTAATGTTTATTATTTTCGTAATCGCGTGATGAATTTTGTTCAAATCAGTTGCCGGCCTGGGGTCATCCCTGCATAGAATAATTAAAAAGTTGAAGATAACCACCTTTCATTTTGATGTCTTTGCTCTTGATTTCAATCAGGTTGGCTATGAAATAATTTATTTGAATTATACAGTGCATAATAATTGAATAATATTAATAATTATATAATATAATTATTAAATTATATTGAAGGAGCTGTCAGGATTTTATGGTGGGGTTATTAAACCTCAGACGGGTCTGTTGTTTGTCACTCATATTTTCTTCGTTAATAATAATATCATTAATTATTGTAATTATTATTAATGTTAAATATAGATAATATAATTACGTTTTAATAGAATTCAGCCAGGAATGCATAGACCAGGTACTGTTGTTGTACAGCTCTCGGAATAACAACATCAAGCCAGAGTCTGTCGTCATTATCGGCCATCACATGGTTGGTGGGGGGTAGTGGTGGTGATGAAGATGATGATGATGATAGTGTTGATGATGATGACTCTGTAAGAAAAATAATTCTCCATTATAATTTTTAATTGAATGCTCTAAAAATGCCATGTACACATTTTCATCGATCAATCAGGGTGGAATAGTGGCTAGATCTCTCTTCTTATTGGCTAGTTTTGACAGGTCGTCAGTGCAAACCATTGTCACGTTAGCCACACCCCATATATTTCCACCAGTAGCAGTCTTCGATTCGGTGATGGCTTCCGTGTACACGAATGTTAATGAGTACTGGGCCAAAAAGATGTTGGATGCTGTGGTGTTCATCTCAATTGGGGGAGGAGTCAATAATTTGATCGACAGACAACAATTCGCGAAAGTTGATAAGGTGAATATGAAAATAATCTTATCAAAGTGATGAAATAGTCAAGTTTGTAATTCATAAAGATGGTTGAAATAACATGATAAGGTTGAATCAATTATTTGCAGTACATGCACACCGACAGTACGTTAATGGCTCAGGTAGGCATTGGAAATTTTTTTTAAATTATTCACTCGAATCATTTGATTATCATTCAGTCAGTCGTAACGGTTCTGAATTAAAATAGTTTTTATGAAACTTTTTGTTCGATTTTCTTCGCACATGTAATGAAGACTTCATCCTCTCCTCGGATATGGACGCATGTCTGTTATAACCAGATGATGAAGTTAGTTCTCATCATTGTCTCCATCATTGTTGTCGTCAGCGTATTCATCGTGATCAGCATCTCCAACAACATCATCTTCTTTCGAATTCGTCCAGGTGCAAACAGGTGGTCACCGAGCTAGCAAGAGCCCTGTATGACACTGTCGACAAGAAAAGCAATAGGGTGAGGGATTGCCACCTTATTAATATTCATTAGGTAGATCAATTATAATAATTTATCAATTAATTCATTAATTTTCAATAAGATATCGGCAGACGCGAGCCACGTGCACAGCTCATTTCAATATCATTTCGAGAAAAATTCTGGGCCCGTCTATCAAAAGGTTTTCATCCATCCATCTAGTCGCAATTGAATGAATGATTTGTTGAACGAACGATTGAATGAATGAACAAACGAATGCATTTATGAACAGATGAACTATGACCTAATGACCAACATTGAGGTCAGCATTCCTTGGAAGGTCAAGAAAAAAAAGACGTTCAAATTTGTTGAACGAAATGTTAGTTGTCATCATCTTCACCATAACCATAATCTTCTTCATCTTCTTCGTCTTCATCATCCTCATCACCATCATAACCACCATGAAGGTATCGGCAGCATCGTACGTCGTCATGACGATGGCGAAAGTGAACGCCCCCAACTACGGCTTCCTGGCGCTGACCAATATCGTTGGATGATAATTTTAGAATTTATGAATAAATTAATGGGATGAATGAGGTGAAGAATGAATGAATGAATGAGATTTTTGTTCTTTATTCAAACCGCGCACCACACACATGGTGTGTGGTAGTCTTTGAGTTTCGGGCAGGCAGTAATCGAACCAGGTCATCGCGTACTTGCACGGAAGATGGCACTTTCACCGACTGAGCTAACGCGTTAACCACGAATGAACGAACGAACGAATGAATGATTGAATGAACGGTTCAATGAATGAATAAACGAATGAATCTCCACAGGATGATCCGTCATGGGTGGGGGCATGCACTTTGAATGGCAAGGAGGTCAAGTGGTTAGATCGATCATTCATTTTTTTCATTGCTCCATGTACTGAACAAATGAATAAGAATGATCCCTATTTGTAAACAGTAAGCAGATGGGCAACTTCGCCAGGTATGCCAACCTCATTCCTCCCACCAATCTTAATATCAAGGTGATATTTTTTGTTATCATCGTCGTCGTCGTCATCACCTCATCATCATCTCCTCCTCCTCCTCCTCCTCACAGATGGTGATGTTGAATTCAGATCGCTTGGACATGTTCACTCACTGGATCATCAGAGTTCCACACTCGTCACAACCAGTAAGTTCGTCACCACCACCACCATCATCATCATCATCATCATTATTATTATTATTATTATTATTATTATCCTGGTAGATGTTGATGATGATGGAAATGTACAAGCTGTCGAACCGCACGACCACCCACCGCGTCACATCTCTTCATGACGTTATCCTCTCGCCCATCCAATCGTTGACCGAGGATAAGATCATCATCAACACCACACGTTCCTCTCACCTCTTCTACAACATCTCTCTCTCCGGCTTCGTCAGTATCTTCCAAGCATACACCATCAAGTTCAAATGTGTGAGATGTGGAGGAAGGAGTGAGGGTGAGTAAGAAGATGCTTCTCTCTTTTGTTTACTCTCATTCAGTTTCATGGGAATTCTTTCGAACTTTCTTCATTTTCATGGATGTTCATCCTTCGTAGTGTAATGCAGATTTGACAAAGGAGTGTTTAACACGAGCTAAGAAGAAGTGAGAACAAGAAGACGATCGTAAACCGATAATTTAAATTGAGACTTATGTATTAAGTGCAAATATTAAAAATTATTCTATATTTTATAGATATAGGTAGGGTTGCGGTTAGGGTTCTCTCCGCGGTGTTCAACAGCGCTCCTCAATAAATTTGGCAAACAAATAGGCTTTGACTGAAAAATCGACTAAAAGTTGAATGTGATAAGCTTAAAAAAGGTCGTCAGTCACACTACCGCGAATCTGTCTTAACCCCCCCCCCGCCGTCAAAATTGTGGTCCCCCCTCGTGAGGATGTTGTGGATGAATGGGGGTGCTGCAGTGTTGAATGTACAAGTACTTACATATATAGCAAGCAGTGACATGTTGTTTCAGATGCGGACGCCAATACAACAGTCTTCAAGATGCATGTTCCCTGGTCGAAAGAACATAAATATCTCTCCGTTCCGTAAGAATATTTTTCATCATCATCATCATTCGTATCATCTTCGTCGTCATCATCATCATCGTTATCATCATTATCATGACAGACGTGGTGAAGATGGAGAAATGATAATGATGTTGAACACCCCTCAGCCCGACGATACAGATGAACTCGTCCAAGTGCACATGTACTTAATGACCCGATGCACGTACCGAGTCTCTATTGCTTACCATTGGAAGGGTACCATGTCACAGGTCACTCATTCATTATTGCATTCATTCATTCATTCACTCATTCATTCGTTCACTCATTCTCATTACTCATTTAATCACGGTTTTAATTTTTATTAGAATCCTACTAAATGTTCGACCTCAGCCAGTTTCGGCCAAATAATCTCCTTTCGGCCAGAGTTAAACTTATTTTCATAAATTTTTAAAAAGTATTTCTTTATTTTTTCAAATTATTCTTTAAAAAATCAGAATCTGACAACGCAGAAACTGTAAATATTTTTCATGATAGTTTGTGTTTCAGCTGGGAATAGTAAATAAGTTAAGTGGCGTAAAGCCTCAGGAGTTAGCTTGGCCTTCTTTTATTCATTCCGTAGCTTAACTTGAGACCGACCACGGCCTCACTGACTTGACTATAGTAAGTAGTCTCCAACTCAGCCGAGCCCAACTGCACTCCACAGTCCCATCAACTTGCGTCAGTTCACGCTTTCATCGTTAATTTGTTTTATCGTTATCTATACATCCATCTGTTAATGGATGATGAGGATGACACAAACGTGTGCACACACACGCACACACAGGTGATATCAATGTACATCTTCCAACTACCGACATACATCTTGCTGCAAGTTCTCATGGTTCTATCATGGCAACTCATGATGCTCGATGATCATCGTTCGTTCGTTCGTTCGTTCGTTTGTTCGTTCGTTTGTTCGTTCGTTTATTCGTTCGTTTGTTTGTTTGTTTGTTTGTTTGTTTGTTTGTTTAGTATTTCTATTTCGTGTTCGTCTCGTGTTAATCTGTCTCTGTCTTCTCTCTCAGTCTGTCTCTTTGTTTCTTTTTGTTCGTCTATCTGTATGCATGGTTTAATTATGACAATATTAAAGACAGAGATATTTGATGATATTAATAGCAGTGATGATAGTAATGAATGAGAGAAATGATGATGACGATGATGAACTGATTAAATAAATTCCCTCCACCAACCACCTGCCACCACTTCGAACAGTGTTCTGCCCAGACTTCTCTGCAGCGCATCTCACCTGGGCACAACCTTACCGAGTTGGTATCGTTACCATGGTCGTCAGATTCATATTGAGGTTGCTGGACGCTGATGCTGATGATGATGGCGGTAGTGGTGACGAGAATGATGATGATAATGATGAAGATGTGAGTGATGACGGAAAAATAGTTGACTTGACAAAATTAGAGTGGCTTGATGGCGATAGCTCTCGGTGATATAAATAATCAACAAAACACAAAACTTCACACTTCAAATCTGTGAGAACGATCAGCAAAATAGAAACTAGCACAAAACCACAATTACCGCCGCCAGCTATTCAACAGACGACAGCAGCCTTTCATCGAAACTGGGCCTGCCCCTTGATGACGTGGACACCCTGGATTCGTGGGGGGCGTGGAACTCTTGCATGCCCCTCCTCCTCTACCTGCTCGCTTATGGCATGGTCGTCTTCCTAGGCAGATTGATCGATTGGTTGTTTTTCAGTGTGGCAAGTTTTGCTGGGTGAGTTTGTGGGGTGGATGTTATATTTTTTAAATTTGATCTCGCCACCACCATTTTTTGCTGTTTGGGTGCGGTCCATGCAAGAAGTTATTTTCTTTTATTTAACAATTTTTTGTCTTCTAACTAAAAATGCTGGCAATTCGTGTGAAAATTAAAATTTGTGAAGCAGGGTGGTGGTCAACCAGTTCGCGAAGGTCACAGATGCCTTGATTATTGTTCATCATTCTTTTACTCATCATCATATTCTATTTAATTCTTTTTTTAATATAATTTCACTTGTTTCAAGGAGCAAAGAAATGACGTTTCCAAGATGTCGGTTGTTGCAGTATGCTATGTTGATATTAGGATTGTTACTAGGTTCTTTGGTCTGCGGTACTCTGGGTATTTTTGCGTCTATGCTAGTATTTGTTATGCGGGTATGTTTCACTTTTTATATTTCCTCTTCCTCATTATGACGTCATCATTTAGAGATGCTTGCCCATTATTAATTACAACTAGATGGTGGCGAGTGGCGTGGGGGGCAGGACTGAACAACTTTATCTCTACTCACATCTATCATCACCTGCATCATCATCATCACCTGCATCATCATCATCATCTGCATCATCATCAACAAAACCATCATCATCATCAAGAGCTCCATCATTGTTATCATCACCGCAAAAGAACAAGTACAACATCAGTTTCACCATCTTCCTCCTCCTTCTCATCACATTCTCTCTTAATTCAGTTCCTCTACTCCAGTGGGCTTTTAATCTCAATTGGTAATCATGGTGATGACGATGATGATGATGACGATGATAAGATGATCAGAGTGTTTATGATAATGAGGTATATTTCAATAATGATGATGATGACGACAACGGTGATAATAATGAGTGACGTGGTATAAACGTTCAACCAATCAAAATGGAAGGAATTGCTGGACCCTGCCCGAAGACCCCTCGAAGACCATGGGATTGTTGGTTGTCATGGCGACCATGCTCTTCGTTTATGCTGATTTCCCAATTTATGACAGGTTGGATGCTATTTGCTCCAGTCTTCGTTGCCATCTTCTTAATAAATCATCGCCATCTTCTGTCATTATCACCAATTTATTTCATCACCTTTCATTTCGTCGTCGTGCCATTTCATTTATCTTCATCATCGACCATTTCAACATCGTCATCTTCATCATCGTCGTCATCATCACTTTCACGACCAGTGAGTTGCTGAGTGTAGCGGGCATGATGACGTACGTCTGCTGTGTCCTTCTGCCTCTCTACGCCACCATCAACATCTACCGACTCAACTATTTCCTGGCGGCCATCTTGTTCTTTGTGGCTACTCCCGCCTCTTTTGTTTACATATCCAGGAAGTACAGACTGCCAGATGAATGCGATCAAAGATCAAAAGTTGAAATTAGGGATGGCAACTATTCCACTGGCCCTGAAGTTGGTGAGGATGGAGATAAGAAGAAAGATTGAGTTAAATTAAGCATCGAAAGGTTGATGAGGACCTTGATGATAATAAAAATGAAAATACTTAAATAAGATGATGTAGTTAATGATATTTTCATCACGTTTTTAGCGTTATTTGTCATAACGATATAATTGTTGCAATAGTTTGTCTGCATGATTTTTATCATGTTTTCCATTGACTTTTATGCCTAGTCTATTCATTTATTTGAGTCGTTGATCGCTGTTGTGCACAGGTCTTGTATTTTTATTACTTTTTTCAAATGATGTGTGTTTCAAATGTGTTCATTCAAATATTTTGCATACATTTTTATGATTTATTATTTCAATTAGCCAAATTTTTATTGTTACGTAAAGTTTGTGACAATTTGAAGAGTTATATTTGAATAATCTTAACGTTCAATTGACTGTAGTTTCGTGTATACTGTACAGTGTACATGTTGGTGGGTATGTTGGAAAGTATGAAACATATACTTAGGACCATATAATTAGAATAAATATAACGGCCTTCGTTCATTTTTGACGGTCGAACAAGGAGCTTACTTCCGGAGAGAAATTGGAGGGTGATTTTTTATCGCCCAAGTCAAAAGTTACGATCGTATATTTACTAATTTCGGAATATTGCTTTTATTTAAAATTTCAAAATGTTTTAAAAGGTGATACTAGATGCTGTTTTAGGATAGATATTGCTCTATGACGGTTAAGTATCTTTTTGCATTTTAAATAAAAAAATTTTTTGTGAACCACCAACAACACTTAAATTGTATAGCTACGAAAATGAAAATTTACTTAAAAACTAAGTTATTGTATCTGACACGAAAATTAGTACAGAAACAAAAACGAAAGAATAAATGACAATATAAAAATGTAAACATTGATTGAAAGAGTTTATTCTAATTATATGGTATGGGCAATTCGTTGCGAAATCGTTGGAGGAAATGGTGTCAACAGTAGTTATTTTACTGCATGGTAGTTAATCAGCCGGTATAAAGGTTATATTCAATTCCTATCAAATAAATTTGACAAAATATACACAGGCAGAACTAAATAAAGAAATAGACATATAGTTATAATACATTTATAATGTTGTATTTACACATTCAAATTGTACAATTGTGTTATGGTGTAGTCTCAAATTATTTTAAATTCTCTCAGAAAATTTTAAACGTTTTACTACACTATATATACTAGTTATTTTTATCAACAATTTAAAAATTTTATCAATAATTAAAAAAAAATTTCAAATTGATTTCATTGCGATATCACTAACGATTTTTGTGACCTGACTGATTAAAAAGCATCAAAGAAAGTTAAAATAGGATGGAGAATTTGTTATATTGGGATATTCGTTTTAAAAGCGAGCAAAATTTTAATATAAAAGCGCTTATAAATCTATGCATATTGGCTCAGCTTGGCTTGGCTCGGCTTGGAATCGGATGTTAAGCAAGGTGTGGTCTTAAACTATTTTGAATTCTCCCCGAAAAATTTGAACTGCGTGCGTACATATATAGTAATAGCTACTGTTGTTTTTTATAATGAATTTATGCATATTGGCTCAGCTTGGCTCGGCTCGGCTTGGAATTGGATGTTAAGCAAGGTGTGGTCTTAAACTCTTTTGAATTCTACCCTAAAAATTTGAACTGCGTGCGTACATATATAGTAATGGCTACTGTTGTTTTTTATAATGAATTTATGCATATTGGCTCAGCTTGGCTTGGCTCGGCTTGGAATTGGATGTTAAGCAAGGTGTGGTCTCAAACAATTTTGAATTCTCCCCGAAAAATTTGAGCTGCGTGCTTACATATATAGCACTGATAACTATTGCTTTTATAATGAATTTTTATTATATATATATATAAATTGACTGGAATCCATGTATAAAAATAATTAAATTAGATTATGTTTATATGAAAAGCAATATAGCAGATTCAACCAGCCAATCAGAAAGTTTCGAAGGCGTTCGTTCGATGACTTCAATTTAGTACGGTTAGCCTTTGGTTAAGACTGTATAATAGTGTAGTACATACATTAAATAAGTTTTTTATTGATGTGAATGATTGAAATGATAAAAATGTATGGTTGAAACGAGTATAAATAGGAGCTGAAAAAACGTTGAAATCAGATCAGGCATTTCTGCCTCGCTCGAGTCGGAGTGCCTGATCTCATTTTTTTATATTTATATTTTTTTAATTTATTTATTTTTTATTTAATTTTATTTTATATAGAGTTATATAGAGTTATATAAAGTTATATAGAGTTATATAGAGTTTGCATGTCTGTGGTTTGTGTGTTTGTATGTTGCAATTTATTATATTTTACGTGGGTTCTATAGCGGTTGCTCATACATACATACATACATCATGTTTGTTGGTGTGGTAGTATTTTATGTTCTGTTTTACTCCTTTTTCTCTTTCTTCATGAGTCTTGAGTTAAGTTAATGAAGCATAGGTAGGTGAGGTAAAAATTAATTTATTATATAGGTAGGCTAGGGCATAAGGTAATTTAGTTACATAGGTAGGTTAGGGTCTCCTATTCTTTTACTCTACTTGGTGGTGTGATTTTTGTTTTGTGTTTTTTTTTGTTTTGTTTCACATGATACATTCAGCAGGTACGCGGTGGTTCCTGGTTTTAGTGGGATTTTTATTGATTGAATGTAGTAGTATGCATGGTTATATAGAGTTATATAGAGTTATATAGAGTTATATAGAGTCTATATAGATTTATATAGATTTACATAGAGTTATATAGAGTTATATAGAGTTATATAGAGTTATATAGAGTTATATAGAGTTATATAGAGTTATATAGAGTTATATAGAGTTATATAGAGTTATATAGAGTTATATAGAGTTATATAGAGTTATATAGAGT